GGATGCAATAATTTTGTCGTTACGCGATGCACCGGTACATATAGAGATATATATATATATATTATAGCGCGTGTGCATGGGTATTATCATTTGTTTTGATAATCAAGAGTGTACTCGGGGCCAATATTAACACTGCATGGTACTGGACCATTTGAACGGCTTGGATTTTGCACCGTATGTTTCAATTATGTCTCGTTATTTGTCCCCGAGTTGGCCAATGTCAACTGTTCGAATTTCAAAGTCTAACGTAGGTATATGTGCATCCTATCGAGGCGTCATTTACAGCAAATGAGGAAAATTTTTTAAGAACAAAAAATCATTCCCTATATGTATCGATCAGTGCAGCTATTTGTGAATTTATTTTCTGAAAATTCACAAGGCATACTCGATGCATCTGCAAAAAATAGAAATAAAGATACCTGGTATACGTACGTATAGGCAGTAACTTTCAAAGCCGACAATAAACAAAGTAGCATCTGCTGCTGATGTCCCATACATCGGGGAGATATGTATCGGAACGGCAAACGACCCGAGTTATTTGTGCATAGGGATAGGAGCACATTACAGAGGAGGCGTGTACAGTATACATGTGATAAAAGTGAGGAGATGGTGTGCAGCGACAACGAGTCTCTCTCGTCAAGCATATATATATACACGCCCACGCAAGGAGCATTAAAGTATACATACATATATTTATATTCCTACCGCCAAAGTATCGCATAAACATGCTATCTAAGACGCAGTTTTCGACCCACCGGGCAATATAAGCCTGTACAATGTGTATATGTGCGCGCAGAGAGCGTTTTCCAATTTATGGAGACGCGCGAAAACTCTTTCATTTGGAGTGCCGCCAAAAAAGTTGTCGACTTTGGTGTGCGATCGAGTCTCATATACATATAAACGTATTGTATGTGTGTCATCCTTGGGATATCTCTCCTCGTGTTTGTATAATTACGTGCTGGCGGGTTATATGTTTTGAATCGTTGGCAAGGATAAATAAGTTCATCTTGAAAATCGGATGGCAACACGAGTATACCGTACGTTGCGTGCCGTCAAATGGTCAACACATACGTATAACTGGGTATATGTTTGTTTGTTCGCGCGTGTACACATGCATCGCATGGACGAAACTTGGATACGTCGGACGTGTGTATACCTCGTTAGTTTATACCAATCAGGCAAACTCAAACGTGGAACTGGATACTCCCTCACTCCCCCCTTGTACTTTTCCAAGTTTGCGAGCCAAATCCATCGACATCCCACAAATGTACCTTTGAACGACCGCATCTCGAAGAAGCCGAACCAACAGTGCAGTAACAGCTGTACCATCGCAGTGATGGCAGGTGCGCAAACACCAATTGGCCAAATTCGGTAAATACCAGTCGTGGGCGAATAGTTAATATCCACACCCCACCCCCTCCACGTTGCTTGCAGGATATTAGGTGGACCTTATGTGCATGAAATTCTTTTCGAATTTCCCATCGAGTTAATTCTTTGATCCTCTAAGAGCGCGTTCATGATAGTAAAAATACAGACATTTGATTAAATGAAAGGTTTCAATCATTGTTTGACAGTTGTGGGGATAAAATACAATTAACTCTGGCATCCGACGATCATTTGTTCAGTTGTACACGTAGGGGCAATTTGCCGAATTGTTACCGGCACAAGGGTCTCAAAGTGTACAGGTATCCATTCTAACATTTGCCCTTTTTGTTTTTTTTTTTTTTTTTTTTTCTCGCAGCAAAAGTGCGGGGAAACCCGATTAAACTTGATCAAGAATCGGGATTCAATCGAATTTTCGAAATCAGCCTGGCAAGCAAAATTGTAATAGAGTTGGAAAAATGAGTCAAGTTGCACGCAGCGGCGAACTTTCGACGTCGATCGACCGACCAATAAAATTTATAAGTCAGGAGCGAAACGAAATTACGTGTATCGGGAATTTCACCTTTTTCTTCAACTCCCATCGACTCCCATCGAGTAATAAATAACATTCAAGTTTGAATTTAAACTCGTGATAAACAAACGAATCGTAATTACCGATATCTGAGTCAACTGTATGTATATGTTTTATCGAAAGCTCCCTTCTCTCTCGAGGGCGTCTACGCAACGTTTACGGGGTGCGAAAAAAAAAAAACTTATAGGTGTGGGTGTACCTGCTCACGAGTCGGCTGTTAATTCCGAGCGTAAAAAGCGCGCGAGTCGCCGGTCAAGCGTTTTCTCAGCTCGCCCCTCGTAAATAATCGCATGAAACATTCATGCCGGGCGACCGAGGGACGAAAGCTTGCAAGTAAATTGGCGCGAAAGCTGCGTTCCTTTTGTCTCTCTTCGGTTATTCAGCGTCCGTCGCTCCGTTGGACTTTACAGCTTGGGATCTCTGGGTGTGTGTAGCCGGTATACGTGTATACAGAGGTGACGCCGTTGGCCCATTTCGTGTGCGCACGACTCGAATTCTCATTCCGCGTCAACCGTAAAGTTAAAAGAAAAACATAAATAGGTACAACATGGTCGCTCGTTCAAAATAAAGGGGAAAAGCTCGTAATGTCGAACTTTTTTTTTCTTTTTTTTTTTTTCTTACCAAATCTCTCTTTTGTTCTTGTTTTTTCTTCTTCTTCTTCTTCGATGGTTTATAAACCCTAAAATCACCTTGTTTGCAAACTCGTGGGAACGAGGGGGCGATCGAACGCGCGCCGTTGGAATATTTATCGCAAAGCCGAGCTTTTGAAGTGTACCTTAACGAAAAGCAGATAGAGAACTCGAGCGCGCGATGCAGAAAAGTCGACAACTAAACTTACCCTTCCGTCGAGTGCACCGGCGGCGCTTAACTTAAAGCTCAATAATGCAACGGTGTGTTTACTAAAACTACGCGGGGCCGCGTTTCGAATTTGATTTTCCACCAAGTGAGTGTGCGCGCGCGTGTGTGTGTGTGTATCATCGCTATGCCGTGATTCGCTGGTACGATGCAGCTATTTTCCCAGGCGGATGTCAAGTCATTATTAGAGAAAAGTATTTTTCACCCTATACCGTTTTAGTATCGTTAAAAATCGGCAGTAACTATATTCAACTTGTACAGTTCGAGGGTGGATGAGAACCATTTTTATTCCGAGTTGATGAAGATAATTCCTTTTCGTTTGGCATACGTATATACCGCGTATGTACATATTATGATCATACACCCATGAATGCATGATGCCACCACGATGTATAACATACAAGTGCGCTACTCCTCCTCCTCCTCCTCCTCCTCCTTACGTGGTGTAAGTACATACGTACATTTGCGAGCATCGAAGGAGTTGTGTGAGGCAATCTACCACCTACCCTCTCAGCTCGAGCGCCAGACGTGCACGAGGGAGGGGGGGGAGCTTTTAGCGTTGTTGCGATGCCTGCACGCTCCATGTCTACCCTACCCGGTGTATACAAGCGTACATATATATATATATATATATATATGTATGTGTACGTGTAGGTGAATATCATAATAATGTGCACTTAATGCAAAGTCGATGCAAGGGGGAGAGGTGTCCCCCCCCCCATCATCTACCGTCTCTCTGTATATATGATCCGGTTTGTCGGGGACAGCTATCTATATACGCGAGCGAGAGCAAATGAAGCACTATTAAATACCAACCTACCCCTCTAAGTGACAAGTTTGACAACCCACGCTCTCTCTATGCGGTAGATGATGGGGATCGGGTATGAAAACGTGTGTTTACGTATACGTAATTGCAAAATATGTAATACTTGCCAAAAAGCGTCTACGTCACGTGAGAAGGCCAACTATTTCGATGACAAATGTGCCGTTGGGCTTGTTTTGATCAATTTAAGTGTCGAAAAAAAAAAAAAAAAAAAAAAAAAACAACCGTCGTATGATCGGTATCGAAGGAAGACTTTCTCTGGTCTGGAAAAAAAAAAACAATCAAATAGACGCGAGCCGTATCGAAGCGATAAATTTCTCTCTGTCACGAAGGCAGTGAAACGGGGTTACACGCATCGCGTCTCTTTCTCTCTTCGAGCTTTGGCCAATTTAAAAAAATCGGCAGACGCGCCTGGGTGACAAAGCACGCCAGGCCGCTCTCTCGCTCCTTTTATTGATATAATATATGTATGCATGCAGCACACGGCAAACGTACGCACACGCTCGTCGAACAACTGCGGCGCGATGAAATACGAATAAACGGTTATTGTCGCCGAGGTAGCGACATATTAGCCGCACATCCGGGCAATAATTCTCGGGCTTTTATTGGTTTTGCTCTCGGTGCTCTCGTTTCGTCCCACCCACCCGCGTGTCTCGTCCAACGGTTATATATACAAAAAAAGGGGGAAAAAAAAAAAATAGAACCAAAAAGACAGGGCTGCCATTGGCTGGTACTGCCCCATCGAGAATTATTACTCGGCTCTACTGACGGAACGAGCGGTCCCCCATCCATCAAGGAGTAGACGCGCGCTCGAGTTGTAACTTTAATACGACGTCATAAATGCAAGGGAGCAGAGCGCGTGCACGGATTATTGGAGGAGGAAAGAGAGTGATCGAAGGCGCGACGTATCGACCTTCCGAGCTGACAATCTGATTGACTGCGCGTCCCGTGCTGAGCTGATGTTATACGACCGGAGTTGGTGATTTTTCACAAGGAGAACTTGGTTTTGCGTGAAAAAAAAAAAAAAAAAAAAAAAAAAAAAAGCCTTTGTTTTATATCAATTACTAACGCACCTTTTTTGTTTACACTCTTCGACATGGTACACTCGATGTAATCNAGGAGGAAAGAGAGTGATCGAAGGCGCGACGTATCGACCTTCCGAGCTGACAATCTGATTGACTGCGCGTCCCGTGCTGAGCTGATGTTATACGACCGGAGTTGGTGATTTTTCACAAGGAGAACTTGGTTTTGCGTGAAAAAAAAAAAAAAAAAAAAAAAAAAAAAAAAAAAAAAAAGATTTATTCAATTTGATAATTGTTAAATAGGTGCGTCATATGTGAGGTACGACTCACGAGTGAAACGAGGGGTTCACGAGCACTTTGATTGCTCGAACTTTTCGGTGTAGGAGAGTTTCTTGGAGTTTGCGGTGCTCGAGCATACGTCGTTGTGATGGGCGTAGGCCAGCATCATGTCGTCCACGCAGTTGGCGAAAGCCGCTACGTCTTCGCTACACTTGAGCGTGTCGTCACTGTTATTTATCAGGCACGCGACCACCTGCACGGAATTTTTATTTATTTTTCACTTATTTTGCGTCTTTGTGGCCGCAAAGTTGTGTTTTATTGGCTTGCCGGTTCAACGCCAATTTGCGCTGTTCTGCAATTCTCGCGATACTTAAACGCGTTTGCTTAATTGAACGACGCAATTAAAGCCAAGGCGGAGCGTTGCGAAGGAGTTGGTTTAAATTGATTCTGGTTGATTCGATTTCAAGTAATTACGGCTGCTGTTCGTTACTATACGCGACAATTGCATTTTTTCTCAAAGTTACGATCAACCGATTTTCACATAAAAAATACAATGAATGTTACTCTTTGTTTCAGATTCGGGCAAGCTGGTGGCGTTCCGTTTTCGAGAAACTTGGTAAATTTGTAAGCGTAGCGGTCGGCCTCTTTGATCGTCAGGTCGTACAATTTCGTGTGGGCCTCGTCGATGCACTGGAGTTTTTTCGTCTCTTTTATCTCGAAATTCTTCACGCGATCCTCGCCAATTTTACCTGATCCCGTTGAAACGATCATGTACAACAACTTGGAAGTCGACTTTTGTACAATTGCAAATAAGATATATATATATATATATATATATATATATATATATATATATATATATTTTCCAATAACCTCACCAGTTTTCATGCGCTTTTCCAAATCCTTGCCGATTTTCGTACCCCGAAGGTATTGCTCGCAATTACCGCTGTCGTCGGGCATTTTGGCTATGAACTTTTAATTTGGAATAAAGTACGAAAAATACGGAATTTTTATTGACAAAGTAAGAAAAATCGGAACTAAATAATTTGCACTGAAAACGGGAGATCCAAACAAAACGCGATCGGTTTGAGTATATACGCGCATGTATACGGTATATTTTTTTTTTCATCCTGCATGACCCAGATCCCAGTAGTGCTCTCCGTAATCGCCGTTTTTGTTGCCCCACCTCATCTAGACGTCAGAAATAGAGAGAAAAGGTAACTTTTAACAATTAAGAATCGTTTATCAAACGTAAGAGATAGGATATATATATATACCTTCCCTTGGTAATGATTTTTCTTCAAGTCCCTTTTTTCGAAACGCTGCTCCCACTCGTTGGGATTCTCGCACACGTGGCCAAATTCAATTGTCGTGGGATCAGGTTGTTCGAAAAAAATATCTCTGAAATTTCGTTTGGATAAATATATTTGATACTATCTCGCGAGAATAATGTATTTTGGACACTCACTGGAAAAATTGGCTTCTCTGAATTATTTCCATCAGATCTTTCCTTGAAAATTCTGGAACACGGTCGCCTGCGGCGATTTTCATGTCACCTCGAGTTCAATTTGGTTAAAAATTATTCATTCGCGTAAACAATATAAATTATTTGTCATTTAATTTTTTTTTTACCTCGATTATTTACATTTTCATTTTTCAATTTCATCACGGCACCAACAACAAAACAAATTAAATGCCCTAAAACAAAATAAACGACAAAATACTTGTTGACCATGACACCACAGCGATACGACATGTTTCTGTGTTTGAAGAAAGTGCAAGACTAATCCAAGCGAAATGGATGAAAACGTCTAAAGCCAATATGATATAGATTTTTTTTTTTGTCAAAGCTACGCTTCGTTGGCTATTCTTATGTGAAAGTGATGATAAAAAAAGTTCGTGACCTCCTTTCATTCCAGAGGGGATTGTGTTGAGAATTAGTGACGCGCTCATTTTTCAAGTTAAAAGTTTCTTTATTTTATGTATATATATTTTAATTCACAACAAAAGAGATGATTCTTTACGGTAATGCCTAATTTACAAAAATTACTTTACTTACGACATATTTGATTAATCTGAGTACTTGCGGTATATTACAGAGTAAAGTAACATAAATAATGTATCACAAAGCAGCTGTTGGAACAAATACAATAATTTGAGCGTCGATAGGAAGACTAGCTAATTTAAGTGGCATACTGATTTCTAGCGCATTTGAGAATAGACTGGAAAAGTTTGACGAAGCCGGTGTCCTTTGGTTTTTCTAAGCCTCTGAGAGCTCGGTTTTTCATGACGGCAACAAACTCGCGATTACTCAGCTGTCCATCCACTGCAAAACGAAATTGTTTAAAGACATTGTTTTCAAAAGAGCTTGTACCCTTTGTTTATTTACGTACTATTCTCATCAAAGATGGTGTAAACAACTTTAATTACGTGATCCGACAAATCTACGTGGGATACAGTTTTTGCGACGTGTTTCAGCGTAGCTGTGAAAATATCGAGTTACACAGGAATAAACATTTTGTCCTTTAATGAAATTCGAATCAAAAAGCTATTTTACCGGGATCTATTGAGGCCCCTGCAATGTGGTAAAAAGTCAACGCGGTATCGACATCGTTTATGTTGCTCAAAAAGTGAAAGAACTTCAGATAATCTTCTTTGTGTATGCCCTGGGAACTATCTTTGAACCTAAAATATTTAAGGTATTTCTTTGTAACTCAAGATTTTAACGTTCTCGAGGTATAAATTAATCTGATGACACGTACGATTTCTTGACTCTCTTAATGATACGCTCTTTCTTCTTTTCTGAAATACCAGCATAGGCCAAGAGCAATTCAGTAAATGCGACTTCTTTTATGAAACCACTTTCATTGGGTTCCTTTCGTTCGAACTGTCGACGCCACAAGAGAGATAATCATTGTCATAAACAGCAAAAGTAATGTTTTTCTTTTATTTGTAATTGCTTACCTCGAGGCTCAGAATTTCTCGTTGCAATTCCTGCTGAAAGTCTAGAAATTTTTCAATTTTCAATTTTTGTTTCAAATCCACTCCAAAAAAATACGTCATTAGCGCCGAGTTAACACCCTGGAACATTTAATTAGGAAAACTTTGTTATTCAACTGAAAAACTTGATAGATCCAGACGATATTTGCGTGCATCACCTTGAAGGTATTCCCGGTATTCGCGTGATCTCTGTGACGGTTTCCTATACTGCACTGTTGACGAATCAGATTCGAAACCTTGTTGAACTCTTCGTAATCCACATCTCCGTCGCCATTCACGTCGAACATTCGGAAGGCTATCTCGAAATGACGCCGAGATGCTAAAATAAAGTGTTGGGTTAACATTTTAAGCAGACGTGGCGGTACATTTTTTCGGAATGGTCAAGCGAAACGTACTTGACAAAACGGTGAGCAAAAATATGTAGTCGGAAAAAGTTATCAGCCCATAGCTTCCAAGTTTATAGAAGATACTGTCCTCGTTCAATGCCAACTCCAATTTCGTTTGAACGCTCTGATTGATACACATTTATTTTTTTATTTTTTTTTTTTTTTGGTCAATTTATTCATCACTTTTCATGCAAGCGCAAATAATTCAAAAATAACGTTTTTACCTTGGGATCGTATCGTTTATATTTATCCAATCCTAAACCTAAAACAACATTTTAGTGATAAATATTTGAACTTTGATTGTTGAACGACTATATAAGTGAAAGCACATGTATTGAAAATTAAAAATGGACAAAAGTAAGATATGAGTGTTTTTTTAATACATGCAGAGCACAGTATTTTGCATCCCAAAGCGTTAATAAATAGACTCGAAGAATAATACGCAAACAAATTGGTTAATAAACGATAGAGTATAGGCATGCACAGCCGAAATTCCGTAGTGGAAAACTGAAAAAAAATATGTATACTGAAGAACGATACATAATAAAAAAAATCAAGTTGTTTTCATAATGGGACACCTTGAAAACATATAACTATACTGAAAACAGAAATTTAATAAAAAAAAAAAAAATCACCACCAAAAATGACTATACAGAGTCAAGTCTCGAAAAAATTACCCTCTGGTTGCAAGACGCCGGGTGTCAGTGATCTTAAAAAATCATCTGGCGTCATCAACACCTCGTGCGAACCGTTAGGATATATCATTTCAAGCGTCGCAAAATAACGAAATACTTTGTCAGGTGTTGAAAATTGCCTTATGCGGTTCTCATATTCCACTATCTGTGTATTAACATGTGTTTATGTTATATTATTTTCATCAAAGTTTGAAAAAAAAAAAAAAAAAAAAAAAAAAAAAAAAAAAAACTCAAGCTCAAAAGCTAAACATGGTTTAGTAAGAAATTTTTATTTTTTTATCAGTGAGGTTTCACGTTTCATGTAGCAAACTCGTCAATTGAGTAAGACATGATATTTAAGCGTTAGTTGGTTATTTTACTGATGACACTAATGAAAAGCACATGATGCAAAAGCTAGTTAAATGACAAGAATATTTATGGTTACAGAAAACTATTCTGAAATTTTTTTTTTTCACTGCAGTAAAAAATTGATAAATAAACAACAAATTCAAAGTGATTAATTACGATAAAAAATGTAACAATGAATTTTTTTAATAGAGTCAAATTAGTCAAATAAACTTCTAGATAAAAAAAAGCACTCTAGCCACGCATTCATAAATTTCAGTGTAGTATTCTCTTGTTCTATTAGTTTGAAAAGAGATACAAGTTAATATTAAATTTGTAGTAGAGACACCAATAGAATTGAGTAAAAAATAGTTTCCCCAATGATCACCATTATTGTCAATAGTAGCACAATTGATCCAGATTATTTACAGAACAGTATTTGATTAGGCACAAAAATTGATAATGGTAAACAAACTTTACCATCCGGCTGTTTCATGCCTGGGGTTATAGCTCTTAAAAAATCATCAGGTGTCATGTATGTCTCTGTCATATCCTGACTAATCAGTTTTACTGTAGCGAAATAACGAAAAATTTTATCTGGAGTTGAGTATGCACGCATCCGATTTTCATACTCTATTATCTGCAAGAATGCTCCAAAATAGCTATCGTTAAGACTATTGTTGCCAACATTACACTGAGACTTGTTGCTCAACAAATGTATTATTAATATTATTATATCAATTTCATGAATTTAAGCATGAAGAATTTTATTAAACATTTAAAAATGTTCACTATCAAAACTTGACACATTTGCATTTTACTTTTTTCTTTTTCATCACCAAAAATAAGACATGAGACTCATTTAATAATTATACTAAGCGCAAACAATAAAATAATGTAAAAAAGTACACAACATGCACTATATAACCTTTCTGTCTCGAAATCCAACTTTATCTTTCTTGCTCTTCTTTTTTTTGTGCCCTTCTTCCTCCATCTCTTCTACACTTTTATTTTCCTCTTCATCTTTGCTTTTCTGGATTTTCGAAGCAGCTTCAATGGTCGGGAAAAAGAATCCTTTAACACTAAAATTGTTTGATACAAAAGTTAAACATTGAGTAATCTACATTTACGTTGTAGGGCAAAAAATTTTTTACTCACGTATTCCAGTTTATGGTGCATCCAACAAACATCAAAGTTACTGCTGAGGCATATAATTGAGTATATTTTTTAACAGGACCTTTTTTATGCCCAAAATCTCTGAAGCCTCTCCTCTGCTGCTGTTCATGTGGCACTTGATAAAAACAGATCTGATTGTTGTTGCTTTTAAATTGAAGGCTACCAGTGGCTGCAAGCTTAGCAGTATTGAAAATTTGCTTGTTGAACAAGATGCAAGCACACCTGCCAAGGGACATCTTGTCAATACCTGCAGTCAAATGATAATTGTTAATTATTTGGCTATCTATTCCATTAGCACAAAAACAGATAAAAAGTACAGTATTGTAAGTAGTACATATCGTCGTGTTTATCTAAATTAAAAATTGATGTCATAACCTTAGGCATTTTTTAATAATGAATACTTCGTTAAATTAAAGCAATGATCTAGTCATAAAAAATGTATACTCACAACTTTGTTGATTTGAAACGTTCACATGAGATAAATGTAATACCGATTTGACTACTATAACAAGCTACCCTAAATTTTTGTTTTTTTTACTTTTATTTTGTTTGACAAAAAACACGGATGACCGACTTCTGTCGTTCTGTCTGCTTCTTTGGCTCTCTGTATTTTGGTTAAATGTGTGTGTGTGCCATCTGGGCGTGTGTGCGTACTGCGTATATACGTTCGCCAGCGGCCAGCGCCTCGGCGAGAGAATTAACTGCGCATATAAGCTTCCATATATTACAAAATATTGCAAAAATAAAATACTATTCTTAGAAAGTAGAAAGAGCTTCTTGATTTCTTCGCATGAAATTTAATTAATTCTACGGTAAAATTGTGTTATAAAGGTTTTTGTGCAATTGAAGATATGAAAAAGAAATTGAAATGAAATGCAGTATTCGGAGTTTATTACAAAATATATTTGTATCGCATGTTATAAAAATAAGTATAATACATGGTTACGACAATGATGAAAGCTATCATACGATAAACTCTAATTTCCGATTTAATAATTCAGCAAACACAGTCGATGACGAAAAAATAAAAGAAAGAAAATGTAGATGTCATATCATTTATCCCAATTTTCGCCCGAGTTTACTACTTCAACTTCATTTTGATTTTGCACTGGTGTCCACAATCCACTTCTAATAAATCTTTGAGCAGCGTCCACGTTTAATCTGGGCATGATTGTGTTTCTATCGTGAATTTGCTTGGCTCTAGCCATACTCTGCTTTAAACGCTCATTCTCTGCTTTGATTTGATGATTGTTGGGATCAATACCTGAGTAATGTTGATACTTAAATTTATTCATGAATTTTCATAACTATTTTAGTACATATTGTTATATAAAGATTTAAATACCTTCTGCTCTCAAGTACATCCAATATAAACCATTGAGACTGAATGACAAGAGATGATTGTATTTAATTTTCTGTTCATTTGTGAGTTTTTCGTACAATTCTGGATCTTCTGAAAACTTAAAAGCCTCTTCTATTGCATTGACAGCTTCATTGAATTTGGTCATACGAGAAACAATGTCTTGGTCACTTGATAATTCTTGAAAATCTAACTCCATATCTAAAACACAAATAAGTGTAACAAATCAATGTCAATGGTTGTTGTGACTGCACAAACGGCATTTGTAGGTTATCCTAATTCTTGAATTACTCGTTGCAATATATATTTGGAAGCGAATGAAAAATGTATAAAAGTATAGTCTAGCTTGTATTTTATTACAATAATTCAATTATCAAAATTGAAATTTTTTAAGTAAACAACTACTTATCAGTGATGTTTGTACCTTTTTCTCCAGATGAATTATTATCATTAGCCATTGGTGTCTCCCTTTAAAAAAATTATGTGCATTATTGCATTAAAATATAAAACTTAAAAAAATTGCTTAAAGTCAATACATACCGAGATAATTTATCTGCCATCGAATTAGAAAAATGTATTGCCAAACCTTCCAACCAGGCGAGCGAGCATGTCTTTACGTCAACACTCCAGATATATGTATATATACAAAACCATAACCTAACAAGATAAAAAATGTATTTATGACTGATATGTGTGCTGAGTGCTCTCTGACGTTTAGATTGACACTGTAAACGATATACGATTAATTCACTGGGCGTGGGCGTTTTGTGAAGATCGGATTTTCTATGGTTATTGGTTATTAGTGGTACATATAGTCCATACTTATATTATTATTTTTTTATTGCGACTTTGTGAGCCACGATGACAGAGCCTAAGAGAATTCTGCAGTTGACATGTACTTGACTTTTCTGTCATGATTGTTAGATAGTGTGCTTTTTGCATCCATTCAATTTATCGAAAATTGATGGCAAAGTCAGTGCCATTAACAATTAAACAAAATGAACGTCATTACCGCAATAAAATATTATATCGAGAAGATGACGGAGGAGAGTGGTCCAGGCATGAAAGTCCTTTTGATGGATAAACAAACGGTAGTTGACTGATTAAACTCATTCAATGTTACTCTTGTAAATTATTATTATTTATTTCCCTAATCGGTATTATGATAATACTGTTACAGACTTCAAATATATTCTGAACATTCCTCTAACATGTACGATTATTTAACTTTACAGACCAGCATTATTAGTTTAGTCTACAGTCAATCAGAAATATTAATGAAAGAAGTGTATTTATTTGACCGAATAGATGCTGCGGTGCGCAGTGAAGGTTTAAAACACTTGAAGTGCATTGTTTTTGTCAGGCCCACTGAAGAAAATGTTCAACTTTTGTGTAACGAACTTAGATATCCAAAATATGGGGTTTACTATATCTGTAAGCATCAACTAATCTTATCTCACACTGCGATTTCTCTTGTGTAAGTACTTTCTCTCTTTTTTTCAGATTTCAGTAACATTATACCAAAAACAGATATTAAATCATTAGCTGAGAATGATGAACAAGAAGTTGTTCGTGAAGTTCATGAATTCTATGCTGATTACTTGGCAATCAGTCCGCATTTATTTTCACTTGGTATTAACACATGCTCCAAGGGACTCCATTGGGAACCTGCGAGTTTACAAAGAACTGTGCAAGGAATAACAGCTGTTTTATTGTCACTGAAAAAATGCCCTCTTATTCGTTACCAAAACAATTCTGACATGAGCAAGCATTTGGCTGAAAAAATTCGTTACGTTTTGACGAAAGAATCTAACTCTTTCGAATTTAGACAAGAATCAAATCCAATTTTACTAATACTGGATAGACGAGACGACCCAGTCACTCCTCTATTGAACCAATGGACTTATCAGGCAATGGTTCATGAATTAATGACAATTAATAATAATAGAGTGGACTTATCTCAGGTCAAAGGTATATCCAAGGAGTTAAAGGAAGTTGTGCTTAGTGCACAACATGATGAATTTTATGCCAATGTAAGTGTAAGGGAAATTATGTATAATTTTTATTACCTTGAGATGAATAATTGTAGGATTGACTTTGTATTCATAGAATTTGTATCTTAACTTTGGAGAAATCGGTCAAGTTATTAAAGATTTGATGGAAGAGTTCCAAAAGAAAGCCAAGAAACATCAAAAAGTAGAAAGCATTGCTGATATGAAGAACTTTGTTGAGACTTACCCTCTTTTTAAGAAAATGTCTGGCACAGTGGCAAAACATGTGACAGTTGTGGGTGAACTTTCTAATCTTGTTGGAAATCATGCTCTGTTAGAAGTGTCTGAACTAGAACAAGAACTTTGTTGTCAAAGCGAACATTCTAGCCAAGTAAATTATGTATCCTGTTCCCATAAAATCATGAGTATACTTTTAAATACATGTATTTATGGCTTTTTTTCAGCTACAAAAAATTAAGAAACTTATTAATGACAGTCGAGTTCGTGACATTGATGCAACTCGTTTAGTTATGTTGTATGCTCTACATTATGCTAAGCACACTAACAATGACATTGCTGGGCTATGTTCAATGCTAAAGAAAAGAAATGTTTCCGACAAATATACAAAGGTATCAATACCTGTTTCCATTGTACAAATAATTCAATTGAATCAAACTGCTGCATAAAAAAAAGAATAAAAAATTTTGCTTTAATTTCAGCTTGCTCATAGTATTTTGGATTACAGTGATATCTCCACGAAACAAATAAATTTATTTGATCGTGAAGCTGTGGCAAAGATGACAAAAAAATTGTTTAAAGGGCTGAATGGCATTGACAATATTTACACTCAACATACACCCTTGCTGTCAGAAACTGTAGAAGATCTTGTCAAAGGGAAATTGAACCTTCAAACTTTCCCATACCTTGGGAACACAGTATTGACTAAAAAGTAACATTTTCACTACATATAATATTCGATGCTCCAAAGTCATACAGAATTATATTAATCAAGTATTCTTACAGGCCTCAAGATATCATAGTTTTTATGATAGGTGGTGCGACTTATGAAGAAAGTCTAGCGGTTTATAATTTAAACAAACAAAATCCTGGAACTAGAATAATTTTGGGTGGCACGACTGTCCATAACTTTGAAAGCTTTTGTGAAGAAATTCAATCTGCAATGGTCGGCGTTGTATCAAGGTATAGGTCCAGAAGTGTTAGAGAACGAATTGAACGCGATCGAGATTAAATAAAAAATTATTTATTGCTTTTCGTGTATATCTTCTAAGGAAGAATTGTTTTAACACTGTGCAATCATTAAAATCACATATGTACATAAAAATTACTCTTTCAAACACAATTTAAAGCTACTATAAATGTTTAAACAAGTTACACAACATAATTTATGAACATATTTTTATTTTAAATTAAAAATATAATTTCAACATAAAACAAAAGTTGTGCTTTAAAACAAATGCGGTTAGTCGTCGTCGTCGTATGTATATATACAAAACCATAACCTAACAAGATAAAAAATGTATTTATGACTGATATGTGTGCTGAGTGCTCTAAACAACAAATTCAAAGTGATTAATTACGATAAAAAATGTAACAATGAATTTTTTTAATAGAGTCAAATTAGTCAAATAAACTTCTAGATAAAAAAAAGCACTCTAGCCACGCATTCATAAATTTCAGTGTAGTATTCTCTTGTTCTATTAGTTTGAAAAGANATTTAGATTAAAATTTACTAAAAAAATTTTTCATGTCAAGTTAGTTTAGAAAAATGATCCAAGTATTTTTTTATTAATAAGTAAGTCAAGGATTGCACACCTTTATGTAGGCATTTGTATTTCATTATGGATAATCAAGAAGATTGGAAACACCAAACCTATTTAATACTTACGTTTTATAGTTCCCTTTTGAAGCCTAAGAAATTTTCTTCTTTTTATTAAAAAGATTATTACCTATAATTATAAACTACTGTTTTAAGAAATAAACTAATTCTGATTTCATTAATAATAAAGAAAGGGTCTTCTAATCGGACGATTATTTAATTATCAGAAGAATATTGCAAGTACTTTAAATCTTTTAAACCTTAGGCTTATGATTGTACTAAGCAAACCATTTTTTTAGATAATCACATTTTGTAAGTAATAATTAATTTAAAACAGTAAAATATTGTTAGTTACTTTAGATAAGACTAATCCAGCCAAATAAAAGAGAGGAAAAAATTTTACAATTAAATGAAAAAGGTACCTGTACAATTCCTGTTGAAAATGCGTAACCAAGCATAGCAACCATAGCAAATATTCCAGCAAAAATCTGATTTCTTGTTTTGTTAGGAAACTCAAGATCTGTGCTCGTTTTTGCTTTTAGTTCCTCTTCTTTGATCTTTAATTTTTCATATTCTTGAAAATCATCTTCAAAGTATTTTTGTAATATTCGATTAACAAACTTTACAAGATTATTGCAGTTTTTCAAATATATTTGCAACCTGCAACTTGGTAGTGGTATTTTTAAAATGGGTGCTAAATAAGCAAACACTAGGGCATCAAACATTGAAGGAGTTGAGCCAAAAAAGTAATCTGATTCGCCAAGTCTCGTGGATAACGTAGTGATACACTTTTGAGATTTGGAATATATCTAGGAAAGAAAAAATTTTAATCGCACTTAAAAAAAAAAAAAATACATCCAACAGTCTACTTAAGCACTCAACACTTACAAACGTTTCAGCAACTTTATCATCTAAATTTGGATATAATGCTTCTACCATGTATTTTGCGTATTTTTCATATTTACCAGGATAATAAAAATTTAACGGAAACGGTAGTGCTTTGCAGTACCATTGTCTTATGATCTGATTTAAATTTTGTTCATCTACCCACCTACGGACAAATTTATTGTTTTACTGCTCAATTTTTTAACTGTTTATCATCCAAATAATTATAATAATGAAAATTGTACTTAAAATACGTAAGAAGTAAATAAATAAAACAACAAAAACATGTATGTACTTACCATTCGTATTGAAGAGCTGGATATAAACATTCCTCAAGCATCGTTTGATAGGCGGCAGTTTCTGCGGTTTGCAGTTTTGTTGTGCCATTATCTGGATTGTACTTGTGTTGATGAAATACATCGAAAATTTTGTCTACTGTACAAAACGAACCAGCTTTACATCTAAGTACAGGCAACTGTCCGTTCGCTGATCTAAATGGATTACTTGTTTCTCTGACGATAACTGGAACATTACTAAATTTAGCGTAGGTCTGAAAGAGCCAAAAAAAATAGGCCATGAGCACTGTAAAGCTTTGTTAATGACCATTCGTAGAAAATTAATTAAATCACATAAAAATCGTAAATCAATAACAGAGCACCTAACCTAGAGATATGTAACTCACCAAAGCTTTTAAACAATTGATGTCCACGGAAGGTAGGCCCCAGTCCCCCTTCCATACATCGAGTTGGAAATTATCGCTAAATGTCATTTTCACGGTTTTTCACTCGACAGATAACCACAGAAACATAAATTTTTTATTTAAACTTCGTTGACGCGCGATCAACGCGAACATCTTTCTACACAACATATATACAGCAAAAAAAATTTAGAAACACGTGTATGAAAGCGCGTAAATTCAAATAAAACTTTTTTTAACAACCATTTTTCAAAATTATTTTTAATTCAAAGCTTTATTTAAACAGTATCCTACGCGTGGGTAATTCATGGCATCAAGTTAATAGTAGCTTTTTTGTAAATCACCTATCGTTTCGTAATATTTTGCGTACATACACAATCTCCCACACGGAAAAAGAAAAATGCTGGATTTTAAAAATTTTCGCCGTTTTCGCCGTTTTCGCGGTGAATTGACTCGGAGTCAATCTGTCAATGTCAATCATAGTGTCAACTGTCAACTGTAAAATGACAGCGTTTGCTTTGTGCTACGTAAAATTATAATTGAACCTCTTCGCTGTACCTACATAATACATTTATATAATTCAAGTTATTACCTTATACAAGAAGAATTAATGACTCTCAATAGTCTCAATAGAAATATGGTCTCAATAGTCTCAACACTCTCAAAGTTCAAAGTAATTGTTTTACAGACTTACAATTTACAATGGCAGTAAGACGGTCACGATACTACTACTAACTCCCAGTTAATTTGAATATTAGGTTGAAAAAAATTTTGAGCCAGTGTGCTCATCACTATCAGATCACTAGCGTGTTGCCGGTGTCGTGCCATCGTGTGTGCGGTGTTTACATATTCCGGCTTCCGGCCACTGTTGCTGCAATTATCTCACTGCGGCGTTTTTCTCGGTGTTTTACTTTACCTAGTACTTAGTAGCGTAGTAGGTTAATAAACAGTGGGAGGGACCGAGTGGGAGCGAGTTAAAACTTGCATAGGTACACAAGAGTAATAGAACAGCTTCTTTTCCATCCACTGTGGGTGATTGTTACGGCTTTGATTACTTAAAAAGTACCTATTTAATAACTTTCTCAACTCTATTAACAGATTTTGTGAATTCAGTTTTGGGTTCAGTGCAGTTTTTGACAGTTGAACATAGTAAAATAAAAAACGCAGTAAAATAAAAATGTTTGAATGCTAAAACATTAAAAATAAACACACTTTGTACACACAAAACTACAGTCTCAATTAGCATAGTTATCGCCCTGATAATTGTGTACTGAAAATAATTATTAACTGTTTTTTCAGCAAAGTGATGGATTCAATTTTTCTCAGTAAGTTGGAGTATGCTCCAAGAGAATTGAAAGTAAAAATTGAAAATAATAAAACAACCTCAACGCACTTAACTTATGTTGGTCGACATGCTGCTGAAAATCTGGAAGTGTCAGATTTTGTAGATCTTACTAGTGACGAGAAATGTTTTGTTTGTGAAGCCGATTTAACAAATAATAAATGTATTTGTATAAAGGAAACCAAGACAAACGCTACCAAAATTCCTATTGCTGCTAAACTTGGAGAAGTTCTGGGTAACAGGTATGATAAATAATTTAAGAGATATTAATATTTATTAAAAGTTTGTGGTTGATAGTTTGGAAAACATTTTCATTTCTCATACTACATATTCTAAAGATTAAGCAATTTTACAACAGATTTTTAACTGAAATCATTGTATATTGAGTCTTGTGCATAAATAGAATACAGTCTATGATATGTTTTCAGATATCTCGTTGTTGTGTCTGATCATGATTTCATTTGTCAAAATTGTCTAATGATTTTGAACCGATTGGACACTGTTGAATTAGAAGCAGCAAAACTTAGAGAAAAAGTGTTGAAATATGTACAAGAAACTTATATGGGTGAAGGAAAAATAGTACATTTCTTACCCAAAGAGTTTATGAAGTATTAAAGTACAAATATAGTTAAAATTAACATCACTACTAAAAGTTATTTTAAAATGGCATGTGGAAAAAAAAAGCTTTTGTATATTGCAATGCAATATTCTCGTTAAACGTATTTCGATATTTTCTCATTTTTAGTCAAATGAATAAAAAAGTATATTTAAGTGTAAAAATTTTTTTATTAAAAATTTAGTATAAATAAAGGTTATTTTTATCCTTCTGCATGAACCGATTCATAATTTTTATATTATATGTTCATTTTTAATTTATCTCTGTGGGAACGCAGAAAACTTTATAACCCATCCAGTACCGCCATTATTCACACTGGTCACATAAGTAACCAAAACTCTATTACTTTGAGATTCAAAATCAGCTGGTACATCCTAGAAACAAAAATTAACATTATAAACATTCAACCCCATGTTTCTTTGCCAAAGTCTGTGAAATTTCATTAGCTTACTGATCCACAAAAAAACAATGACGTTTCTTCCCCGCTGCCTCCAATTTCAGTAATAGATAAATATTCCGTGTCACACATACTCTTAAGTCCAATGTCAAAAACGTCAAAGTGCAAATGTACATTAAGTCCTTTGGGAACACTGACATCCCAAGTGCATTGGCTCCTGTTTCGATAAGGATTTGGATAAAGTGGAGACGTGAAGACTCCCCCATAATTGTAAAGCTTTCCACCACATCCTCTTCCTGATGTGTATTGGCATAAAGGAAAAAAAAAAAATTAAACATTCTTTCATTATGGTTCACTTGAAACAACGAAAATAAATTCTTACCGCTATTGGTAGCTGTGTACGTTATGTCATAACTGTTACTAATAAATCCTTCCCTTTTGGAAAAAGAATGAAAACTTAAACGATTGCCCGTACTGAAAATTGGACTTGGGGTTTGGTAATTGCAAAAAGTTTCACTAGAAGGACTATTGAATACTCCATCCCATATCTAAACAATCATGATGGATGTTCTCATTAACACTACATCAATTCTAATTTTATCAGTACGACAATACGTTTACCTGCAGATTACTCGTAGAGCAATCAGAGCTTGCAGGTATAAACATCTGATTGAAGTAGAGGCTGATTGTATAATTCTGTGGCACTTCGACCGTGAACCAACAATCTCTTACATCTTGGTGAACGATTCTCCCCTGAAGGGAAGTAAAATTGTGAGAACAGTTAGCCTTGCTGTATTCTATTTTAAAGCGCTTGTTATCAACCAGGCCACGTGAAGATCCTTTGAAAATTATTTCTACGCCCCGGTAGTTACTGAATTGAGAAAAAAACAGAATTAAAATCCATCGATCCCACAAGCTGTATTGAAAATTTATTATTATTTTTTTTTTTTTTTTTTTTTTTTTTTTTCATACTCTTTGGTATTAATACCTGTAATAATCGTGTGGTATTCCGCTACCGCAGTATTTATAAAAAGTATGAGGCATGTGACTGTCCTGAAATGAAAAACAATGAACACAAAACAACATACATTGAGTAAAAGCAAAAAATTTTAAAAAACAGGTGAATACTCTTACTTCAGAAACGTGGGTACGTTTCGGGGACCCCTCGATGATAAATTGCTCGCCAAAACCTTCGGTTATAACGTTTCGATTCTACGGGAGGAGGGGGGGGGGAAAAAAGTTTAACCACCCATAAACAACAGTTTCCTCGTACATAATTATGCCTCCAACTTACGTTCAAATCGGCAATCTGCAAGTACTCGCTCTCGCATTTCTCCGAATCCGTCAACTGAAAATCCTTGAACGCCACTCTGACGATGTCCCTCTCCTGGCCGCGTATCACCCACCTGCAGGTAATGTCCGACGCGTAGCCCTCCGGGTAATTGGGCGATTGCAGAACTTTGGCCTCACTTCCCAGCTCCAAATCGGATACTCCACAGGGCGCTAAAAAATCGTTGCAAAGTTAACCAGGCGACAATTGAAACGAGGTGGTGCGCGAACAACGATCATTGGGTGGGATAGTAACATGTGACGAGTTTGAAGGATCCCCGGATCCCGCGGCCCTCGTTTGTGCCGTCGGTGACAAATCTGATCCAAAGCAGATTGCCGAAGCTCCTGAACGGCGAGGGATTCCACGGGCCGCAGAAGCGTCCGATCAACGGCGCGTAGGGCCCACCGTCCCTCACCTCGATGTAATCGCCGTTGCAACGATCGTGCCGTTCGACCATCGTGTCGTTGAACGTGGTGTTCCTCAGGTCGAACACGTCCATGGTGAACTCGATGGTGTAGCTCGAGGGCGCGGTTATCAGCCAGTGGCAGTCCTGGAACGGCTCGTAATACTCCCCGAGTTGGCTCCTGAACTTTGTCTCCTTGCCGGAGGTCACGTTCACGTTTCCCCCGCAACCCTCTTCCGGGCCGTTGACGAAGAGCACCTGGATGCCCAACGAATCAAAAATTATCATCGGCCCACCGGTCAATCAATTAAAGTGTGCTCACGGCAATGCTCAGAGAGCCCTCGGTCGCGCTGTACGAACTGTAGTAGAAGGTGATGGTCATCTCGTTGCCCAGCGACTGAACGACCGGCAAGTTTTTACTCAAGTCCCCGCAAAACGTGGCCTTTTGCTTGTCCAAGTTCGAACTGTTTCCTTCGTATATGCGAATGGAGTTTGACAGGCAACTGGAAGACAAAGCAGTGTTTTTACGAAATTTTTTTTTTTTTTTCACTCGAGCGAGCAACAATACACGTACTCTCGGGAAGCTTGCGTGATGTTTAGTTTCTCGAAGCGCAAGAGCACGCTCTTTTTGGGGGGAGCTTGCACCAGCCAAACGCAGCTCATGAAGACGTAAGAATCGGGGTCCGAGAGTATCATGGGACTTATTAATCTCGGCTTTGTTATATTACCGCCGCAATCTGAAATCAATCGCACGATACACTCGCGCCCATTTTTTTTTTTTTTTTTACAATAGTATACTTGAATTATACTTTGGAGTAAAAAGTATTGAATCATAATTGTACTCGTACCGTTCAATTGATACTTGAATTTGAAGCCCTCGCGATTAATGGAGCTGTCCGTTTTGAATATGATCTCCATTTTGCCCGCCGATATTTTTCTCCCCGGTGAATTTGAACCACACCACACGCTTGAATCGCGTAGCCAGTCTCCATTGTAAAAGGTATTGATCGTCAAGTTGTCGTAAATGCAGGATACTCCATTTCCTGAGATGAAAAGAAAAAAAAAAAAAATTGTTTTTATATGTTGCACACAGCGAGGGGTAAGAAGTAAAAACTTGCTTGACCTTCTATCAAGAAGTTGGTGAAATCGACGACTATATCCGCTTGATCACCCGATGATACGAGAGTGTAGTTGCACAAAGTGTTTGACGGATAAGACGCTTGAAAGTTCGGTGACTCGATGTATTTCACGTCCCGCGTAACTTCGTAAACACCTCCGCAGTTGGGGTACCAAACGGCCTTGAATCCTTCGCCCTCGATCTTCTCATTTGACACGAACTTTACCCTCATTCTGTTGTTAGTGCTGTTGAAGGGCTCCTCCGGGGGTGTGCGCCCGCAAACTTTTCCCAAACTTTTCCAATGATTGGATTCATCGGTATTGTTGTGCGCGACCTCCTGCCACGCGTACACCTAAATGGTAAATCAATGTACAATTTTACATTATTGCAAATTGAGCCTGTTTTTACTCGTATGCGTATACCTCTACGTAGTCGTTTTGACAATCCTTGCTCGTTTCGAGATTAAATCTTTCGACGAAGGTTAGACCAACGTGGTAGCCATTTTTGGCCATTATCTCCCAAATGCATTCTGTGTTGTTGGGATAGCTTTGCGGAAAACTTTTCAACAAAAACGATCAATTTACTTAATACGGATACAAATGTGTACAAGTTTCATTGCTCATCGTGTAAAAATGCTTCTTCACTTACCCGGGGGATCTTATGTCGCTTTTCTTGCCTTTGACTATTCCTCCGCAAGCGTGTCTAGACGGGCTCAATTGAATTTCAAATTCCGCGCTGCTTTCCTCGGCATAGTATTCTATCGTTATTTCGCTTGTCGGAGTTACTACACTCTGCGGCTTGACGTTTCCACAAAATTTGCCCAAAGACGGCGATCTAAATGTTTTACCCCTTTAAACAGTAATGGGTGTATAATTTTTTTTTTTTTTTTTTTTCACGAACTGAGAGTCAGTGGAAAACTTTAAAATTTACTTTATACGAATGTAAGACTTGTCACAGGGACCAAGATTCATTTTTTCGAATGCCACTAATATTGTTTCATCCGTATCCGAGTATTTAACTTTCCAGGAGCAATACACCGGATAAGATGTATTTTTTGGGGGATGTATCGTATGCTTTGGTCCAGTTAAAATACCACCACATGGGTACCATTTGTAATTTATGACGAAATTAACTTTCATTGACTGATAAGTTGCATTTATTGCCTAAAAGTAACAAAATGTTACTTTATTTTGGTGATCTCCGCAATTAAAATACAGCGATTTGAAAAATCATCTCACCTGAACAGTAATCATTCTGTAAGGACTAGTCACCACTAAAGGATTTTCCGTGATATTTCCGCATATTTTAGCTAAAATCTCCTCACCTGCAATAATGTTGTATTTAATTTCACGTTTATTTGTTCGCCGTATGAATTTATTTACAATTTTTTTTTCTACCTGTTATGAGAACATGGCCCAAATAATATTGGCAATTTGTTGTTGCTTTTCCTCTGCTTATAATGCCAGATATCGTCATAGCCAGCGTCAATGATATATGGTTTTCTGTCTGTATTAAAGTTCTAGTGTTCAACTCGTCCGGAGGTAGTAAAATCCATTTACAAAAGTATGTAGACTCGTTGAACGGTGCTTTTTGGGGATTCGTCAAAGTACCAGACAAAGCTTTAGTCTCTCCACCACAGGCTATTAAATTATACACAAGAAAAAAATTGTTCACCCGAGCGATTTCTTGATTGTTAATAAGCGTGTTTATTCGCGATAATTACCAGCCGGTGACAGCGCAGTGAATCTTGCTTTCATCCCTCGATGACCTCCGACCGATACATAATATATGCTCATGTAGTTAGCAGAACTTTCGATTCTTTTCGTTTGTGATGAGTCTGTTAGTGTAACAATTGTTGAGAGCGACCCGAGATCATGATGAAACTGTTGTTTAAAAAATAAAAATGATAAAATTAATGACATAATCTGGTATTTGAAAAGATGATTGCAAGATAGTTTTAATACTACCGAAACGTGACTGCCCATTGCATATAAACTATTGCCAATGTCTAAGTCTTCTATGTCAACTGCTACACGTAAACCAATCGGTACCGTAATCTTCCACTGGCAATACCTTCAAATACAAAATTGTAATCCCTATAATAATCTGAGTATACATGTCAAGTACTCACTTATAACTAGTAGAAATTCTGGGATAGCCATTAGTTTCAATTATTCCGCTCATTCCTTCCAAGTTACCTCCACAACCTATTCAAATGAACATAAAATGTCATTTTCCATTACGTTTCAAGTTTATACTTAAACTGTGATATACATTTACCATCAATGTGAAAAGTATAATTAAGACGAAATCCTCTGCTAAAAAAACGTCTGCTTTCAAATGTACTTTGAAATATAATTACAGCTTCGCTCGTTAAAACTTCGATTGGAGCTGGTTTTCTTCTACCACAATAAGTACCAACCTCAGTGTCTGAAAACAATGATTGAGCTTGGTCGACTAAACGATGTGATTTTAAGAAAAGAAAAAAAAACAATCGATCATTACTGTTGAAATGTCCCGGAAGTTTTTCCAAAATCGTGACGTGATCAGTTTCCGAGCAATTCAGTGAACTTGGAAGCAGAAAATCTTCAAACTGAATCTTAATGCCCCGGTTGAAAGATCCAATTATCCACCAACTACACAAGTGCGATTTTGTGTTATAGGTTTCAGGATAATTTGGTGAAGTTATAACTCCACCCCGAGGTTTTCTTTCGATACCTCCACACACATCTAAATGATGATTTTAATATCATAATTATTCACTCTATTGCTCAATACTTAGCGTAAATGATTCAAATGTTTACCGCCATTTGTTATAAGCGCTTTGAAACCGTTTCGTGGCTCTGCAAAGTCAGTAAAGTAACGCACATACAAAATATTTCCTTTAGTTGATAAGCTGCTGGGTGGTGTGGTTTTGCAATATCTTCCCATTAAAGGTGAGTCATCTGTTCCACCATCCCTAACTTCTACGTATTCTTTCTCACAACTATTATTTGTTAAAAATTGTTTGTATAAGAAAGAGCTCGAGATTTTCATATACTTAATAATAATAATTAAAAAAAAAATTGTATAATCTTACTCTTCGCTAAATGCAAGGTCAAATCTATCTGTAAAATGAATAGACAATCGATGTGTATCCATACTCATAAACGTCCACACGCACTCTGTATGAGGTGCAGGAATATTCGGATAATTCGGGGAAGTTATCTGTTGTTGATTATCGTTCTTGGAAGATAACTCAAATCTACCCCCACAGTCATTACCTATTTCTCTAATAGCGTTAAACAAAACAATTATTTGAATTCTTATCACTTTTAATGTGGAAAAATTAATAAGCATGTAATTTTATATGTATAGCCGAACTTAAATAAGAATTTTTAAAGAAGAGTTATTTACTGCGAAGACATAAAGTGTTTGTCATTACCTAAACTTCAATTTAAAATGAACAGTTGCGAAAACAACTGATAATTTTACATAAAGATAGTTGCTGGTTGTATTTTGCACGGGTGGTTTTACACCATCGCAGTACTTTCCAATGCCCAACAAAGGAGAGTTGGATGATTCACCATTTTTCAACTGGAATGAGCAACTTATGTTGGTGTACTTAAAAGAATCAATTAATAACTATCCTTGTACCAAAGTTTACGTACCATAAGATAACTAGCTCTACAAGAATTATCATTGGTTTTTGGTTGGTTAGTTTCGATGCGATTTTCTATCACGTTCACTCTTATTCTTCTTCCTGGTTTAACCTTAACAACCCATTCGCAATAGTATATGAATGGTCGAGGTCGTGAAGAATGTAAGCTACTATTAAGTTGAATTATACCACTCGATTCTTCAATAGTTCCGCCGCACTCTATATAAAGAATTAAATACATACTGGTGTACCTATCATTGGAAAATATATTCATGTTTGACCTTACCCGACGAAACAGTGGCTGAAAAGCCAGTTTTGTTTCTATAAGCATCCGCAGAAAATTCAACAGTCATAACATTTGTGCCAACGTAATCAGCATTCGTTGAGTTGGATAAGCACACTTTAAACAAAAGACTTTCTTCAGATTCGACAGATTTTTGGTACCCTTTGTTAATTGCTACATAATCAGCCACGCAGTTATCAGATTCTTCAATGTCCATTGTTTCAAATCTCAAGACTAAATGCGTTCCTACTGGTGATACAAATGTCCAGAAAAAACGAAGATTATCTTCATAACCGTTTGGAAATCCAGGCGATGTGAATGAATACGTTGAATTTTGTGCAGTTAAGATGATTATTTCGCTGCTATTCGATTCTACAAATCAACAATCCAATGCATTACGGTTATTTAATTCACCACATGATTATGAAAAATAACTATTGCGTCTGAGATGTCCAAACACCTCAACTCACTTATTTCTTCTATTTCACCCATGTACGATCCCCGAGGAATTTTCAGCCATTTCAAACGAAACCAATTGCCAACATGATCAAATCCATTTTCCATTTCGATGAAAATAATGTTACTTGAAGATGTTATTGTGTCGCTTGGAATAGAGATTCCGCACAGTTCCTTTAGCAGCGGAGCTTCGTCGTCGAATCCGTCATAAATCTACGAATACCGTTGTTAAAGTATCTTTTATTTACAATTTAACGCATGAATTGAAAAATGAAACGATATTACTTTTAATGAGGAATAACAATAATCTTCGTAGTGATCGAAATGGAAATCCAAAAATTCTAATCTTATCACATAGTTGAACTCAGTTGTCACCCTCCATGAGAAGGATTCAGTTTTACGATAAGGCATCGGATACATGGGCGATGCTATTTCGCCATCATCTCCCGTAAGCTCATTTCCAAATAATAAACTATACTCAGCCGCAAAACCTTTCGGATTACCCACGGTGTTTGATGCACTTTTAAATCTGATCCACAGTGGCTGCGACGAAGTTATGCTTTGTATATTTTTGCCACAAAAAACACCTCTTAGCTTTCCAATGCCGTTGTTTTCACGGATTTCTAAATAATCGATGTCGCAATTTTCGCTCTCCTGCAATTCAAAACTCTCGAATGTCAAAGTAATCCGGTTTCCAGGCGAATTCCGAATATTCCAAATGCAATCTGCTGCACTTGGGTAACTCAACGGGTAGTTAGGGGAAGCTATTATGCCTTTTTCAGCCGTGTATTTTCCTCCACAGGCTGTATACAATCGTTAGGGTAAGATGAACATGATGCTACATATAGTGCCAGTTTTGCTTTTTTTAATACATTCATGTGATGTTTGCATGTACCTGTAGATAATGAAGAATAAATTGCGTCAAAATTATCGCCAACAATGTGTCCGTAAAGAGTTGTCAAATGTATAGTGAGCGTATCGCCAGTACTGTAGAAAGGTTTTGGAATCTTGTTATCACAAATTTGACCCAACATCGGTCCCTCGATCCCTGCGCCTTCATAAATCTCAATGTGGTTTGACGAGCAATCCTGAGAGTCCAAGTCAATGTGAGTGAAAGTCAAAGTCACTTTGTCACCTGAAGCAAAAATATTTTTTAATTTTCAATTCATCAAGAATAAAAGTGGCATAAGGTTTTATAATCAAATACTCGGATCTGCGGCTGCAATTATCCAACTACAATTCAAAGATTCCATTGTGTGTAGAGTTGGCGAAGAACGTATAATACCGGATCCATCCACTACGATACGAGCGCCACAAGTTCGGTTATAATGAGCCATAAAACCTTTTGCCGAGACCAATGCGTCTGTTCTCATTTTTACAAGTATCTGATTTCCACTGGAAACATAGTAGGGCAAGCCCTCGGTGTTGAGACAGTGTGTTCCCAATACTAAAGCTGCCGTTGAATTACCATCGAAAACCTTATGGTAATCAAGTAGTATTTTATTAATTAATTTTCATGACCAGAAGATAATAATTAAATACCTTGATGTAATCATCCGAACAGTTTCTGCTTTTCTCAAGATCTAAATCGACAAAAGTCAAATTCACGACATGATTTGGATCAACAGTTATCAGCCATTCGCAATTCTGATTGGGAGGATAGTTTTTAGGATATTTAGCTGAGTGAATGACACCCGATTGTCCGGTGAATTTGCCACCGCACTGAATGGGTACAGATTTGTAAATAGCGGAAAATCCGTGGCTGGCATAATTCGTTTCAGACGCATACTTGATGAGCATTTGGTTGCCAGTGCTGGTTAAGGTCACAGGTGATTCGGAGTAACATAAGCTGTGCGATAATTGAGGAGCATTTTCACTTTGTCCGTTGAAAATTTCAATGGAACCGTTGTTATCTAGATAAATAATAATTGTATGTATGTATGCATAAAAAGAAAAAAAAAAAAAAAAAAAAAAAAAAACAACAACAATAAAAACATGCACTGCAGCTCATGCGTGAAAAGAGATGATCAAAAAACACTACCTCCCGAGAAACAATCGTGAGAACGTCGATTATCAATTTTCGGAAAAGTAATTTCTATACTTTTGTCATAATCGACTTCAATTAACCATTGGCACTCTACGTAGGCAGTTTTTAATTTGTTGCTGTCCGGGTAACCGGGAGATGTAAATTGCCCATACGGCTTTGTCAAGTGCTTGCTACAGCCATCGACGTACCACTCCAATCTAAATCCGCTAGCCGTTACGAAGCGATCCGACATAAACGTCACGAAAACTTGACGTTGGGATGATGATATTTTTAAAGGTAATACGTCTTCTTCGTGTCCGCATTTTGTGATAATTTCCGTATTTGGTTGATTGTCGTCTCCCTCTTGTATTTTGACGTAATCCTTTTTGCAGTTTCCATCGAGGCTCGCTTGCACATGAAAGTGGGAAAATGTGATGTTGACTGTGTTTCCAGCAGGTGCTGATATTATCCAGGTGCAGTTGCTCAAGTTTTCATAATTTTGTGGAAAGTTTGGCGACTCTATGACTCCTTGGTAACCAGAGACCTTGTTGTTACAATCTGCAAAGTATAACAGTGTTTAGAAAGATAAAAAAAAAAAAGAAACAAATTGCGCATTATTAATCGAATGATTGGTGAATTAACCTGTTGTGTATCTTAAATGAAACCCACGAGCATTGGTCAATACGTCGCTTCGGAATAATAATTTCATTTGATTACTATTTGACTCGATCAATGCAGGGCTGTTGGAGCCACAATATCGATGGGTATTTTGCGAATATCCATTGACGATGTCGGAAATTTCAAGGTAATCGAATGCACATCTCATGTGATCCTCAATATCAAAGTCTGTAAAAGTAATTCGAATAACACTGCCGGCTGAAACTCGAATATTCCAAGTGCATGCTGCTCGGTGGTAATAGTTTTGAGGGTAATTGGGCGATATGATCGATCCACTGGAAGTATGTAGATTTCCCCCGCATCCTAGAATCACGAATATCACACACAAGTTCATTTGAACACTTTAATTAATTAAAAATTAACGTATGGTTAAACTAATAACAAATGTACCAGTTTTTACGCTATTCCATTGAATTTCAAATCCTTTTTTCTGCAACGAAGCATCCGAGACAAATCTTATGTACATCTGATTGGTCATACTTGTTATTTCGTCTTCTATTCTATCACCACAAAATTTCCCCAACAACGGAGAATTGTCTCGAGAACCGCTTCTAAAATAACAACACACAGTTATAATATATCGACGAGTATAATGTCAAAAGTAGGTATGAGCGGGGAAATCAGTTGGTAAAATTGATACCTTATTTCTAAATAATCGTATGCACAATTAGAAACATTTTCGAGCTGAAAACTGTTGAATTTAAGAGTCACCAAGTATTTGCTTTCAGCTTCTATAACCCAAATGCACTCTTTATTTTTGGGATATTTATCTGGATAGTTCGGCGAGCGTATGTATCCTGTTGGTGTAAAGTAGTGGCCTCCGCAGTTGTGAGTGTCGTCGACAAAAACATAAGAAACTTGATACGATACGTCAGAGTCGACGAAAAAGTGATAATGCAACGTTAAGTCGTTTCCTTGGGTTGACATGATCTGTGGCGGTACTTTTTTTGGACAATATCTTCGAAAAATATGATTTAGTAAGAAACTTATTCCATGCGATTAATAAACAACTTTACATTATTTTGTAGTTTCTAACGTACTTTCCTAATGATTTAGCTTCAGTAGATCCATAGTCTTCCACCAATTCAATGTATTCTCGAGTGCATTCGTCAGTTATGCTTGATGTTTTAGAAGGAAGAGAAATCCATGTTAGTTGAATTGCATTATTAGAAGGCGCCCGAATAGTCCACAAGCAATCCAAATTATTTTTCCATTTATTCGAACGTTCCACGTGTCCTGGTATATTTAATGAACCCGGGCCTTGTTTAACAATACCGCCGCACTCTAAATTGACAAAAACGAATGTGAATACCAATTTTGCATAACAATACAAGAGTAATAACAATAAAATGTATTGAATTTATATCCATACCGCGATCAATAGTCGTATAGTTTGCTCTGAATCCTCGATTGTGGATACTGGCATCAGTGAAAAATTTAATGAACATGAAGTTGTACGTGGAATAAATGGGATCGGTTGGGACGTTGTGCATTGTACCGCAGAGGGTCGTTATCAAAGTTGAATTTTCTGTATCCCCATCTCGAATTTCAAGCCGGTCAAAATAACACTCGGTCAGATTGCTGAATAAAGATCCTTCCTCAATGTCCATGAACTCAAATGTCAATGCCACAGCTTTACCAGGTGCTTGAGAAATTAAATAAACGCATTCCTTTGATCCTGGGTAATAATTGGGGTAAAACGGCGACTCGAGTATCCCCGAAGATTCGGTAAATATACCACCACAGTCGACCTCGTATTTGAGAATGAATCCTTTTTCTTCAAGGTTTGCGTCACTTTCAAATCTAAGCAGTACTCGATTCGACTTCACTGATAATGACGGTGGTAAGGCTGATCCGCAGTATCTTCCAATTAGCGGAGAATCCTTGTTTGGTCCTTCGTATACCTACGCAAGTTATTTATTTATTGCTGATTTTTTTTTTTTCTTTTCAATATACATTAAACAAAGAATTTTACGTTGTTCTCGTAAAGGAAAAAAAAAAAAAAAAAAAAAAAAAAGAACTTGAGCCTTCTTACCTGTACCGAATCGAACATGCAATTTCGTGAACGCTCCACTTCAAAGTTCAACCAATTTATACGAACGTGACTGCCTTCTGGTAACCGTATCTCCCAATCGCAGATCATGTTTGACGAGTAACTTCCCGAGGCGTATCCTGGAGATACTATTTCACCTCTTTCAGCCGTGTAAACTCCACCACAGTCGGGAGAGCCTTCGAATGACCAAACGCACGATATCAATTCGCGATAAGTAATTCAAAAAAAGTACATCGGGATTTTAGAAATCCCCTACCTGCCACTGTTAAATATGCCAGATGAAAACCGTTATCAGTTTTAGTAGTGTCCGAGTGAAAGTGTACAACGGCTTCAGATCCTGTTGTCGTCAATGGCGGTGGTGAATTGCGATTGCAAAAAATTCCTATACGACGATCACCCATGTAGTTGGTTTCATTGATCTTGAACATGAGCATTTATAAGAGCTATAAACATTGCAATTCGCCGGTCAAGGTAAAACACTATTAGAACCAAATTCTCACTTCAACGTAGTCGTAGTCACAGGTCGGGTGTTCCTCGAGGGCCAAGCTTATGAAGTGGAAGGTGATCCGTTTCCCCGGCTGAGCGTGTACGTTCCAGTAACAATCCCGGCCAAGGGGATATTTCCCTGGGAAACCCGGAGACGTGATCGAGCCGTAATCTGCGTCTACGTATCCCCCGCAGAATGGTTCTACTGTTCTCCATCGAAAACCAAATCCATCCGAATTGACAGATTTGTCCGAACGGAACCAAATGTAAATCGCGTTATGCGTCGTTACGATGGTGCCATTGTTGGGCAATTTATTCCCGCAGTACCTCCCGATAAGTAAACTCCCGGCTGATTTGCCATCGTGTATCTGTCACGCGGAGATTTTAATGTTGACTTGACCAATGTGTATAATACTAATAAATCAAATGAAAGAAGAAGAAGAAGAAGAAGACATAAATATGGTCACCTGCACGTAATCGTGCTTGCACTCCTCGCCCCCGTGTGTATCCTCCAAACTGAATCTCGTGAAAGTGACATTCAAGACTTTCGTGCTGTTCGTCATGATGACCCAAGCACAGCTTATTCCGTGGTCGTATTTGTTTTTATTGGCAGGGTACTCTATATACCCACTGGAGGTGAAATACCATCCTCCGCAGCTTTGCTTTGGCGTCTCGCACGTTGGACCGGTGTAACTGGAGGTGCACTCGCACACCGGTTTTCCGGACAATTGGCTGCACGTGCCGTTGTTTCTGCACGGGTTCGGACTGCAGGGGTTGACAGGCCTGTCGCACATTGCTCCTGCAAACGTTGATGATAATCAAACGCACGATGTTTTTTAATCCTTTTTTTTTTNCTGGAGGTGCACTCGCACACCGGTTTTCCGGACAATTGGCTGCACGTGCCGTTGTTTCTGCACGGGTTCGGACTGCAGGGGTTGACAGGCCTGTCGCACATTGCTCCTGCAAACGTTGATGATAATCAAACGCACGATGTTTTTTAATCCTTTTTTTTTTAATCCTTTTTTTTTTAATCCTTTTTTTTTTTTTTTTTTTTTTCCCCAAAAAAATGGAAAAAAAATTCCCAATTTTTTTTTTTCTTTTTTTTTTTTTTTTTTTTTTTTTTTTTTTCCACAAAAGTACCTGCATATCCAGGGTGGCAAGTGCAGGTGAAGTCGTTGTTCCCTTCGGGCGTGCAGGAGCCATGCGCGCAGGGACTACTTTTGCACGCGTTTTCGGCGACTCGACAGCCCTGAGGACCCTTGCCATTNATTTTTTTTTTTTTTTTTTTTCCACAAAAGTACCTGCATATCCAGGGTGGCAAGTGCAGGTGAAGTCGTTGTTCCCTTCGGGCGTGCAGGAGCCATGCGCGCAGGGACTACTTTTGCACGCGTTTTCGGCGACTCGACAGCCCTGAGGACCCTTGCCATTGCCCTGGTAGCCGGACGGGCACAGGCACAAGACTTCCGAATTTGGTCCCTCGCGACAAGTGGCCAAATTGTGGCAGCCGCCGTTGTTGTTCGAGCAGCTGCCTGTGTAGAAACACGTGACGCCGTCCCCTTGATAGCCACTTGGACACATTGCGCATTTTCTCGAGCCCTTGCGATTGAGCATATCGTCAATCAATACTTGCCCAAATGTCTCTCATTTACCGATCATACCGTTATAAAAGTTTCGTTATGTCTAGAACGTGTTGCAAAATAACGAACCAGAGTATTGATACACTCGACCAAGGGTGTGGTGCTGCAGCCACCGTTATTGACCAAGCACTCGTCGATATCCTGACACTTGAATCCATCCCCGGTGTATCCGGCAGGGCAGGTGCCACAGTAAAAGGTCCCGGGCACGTTGTGACAGGTAACGAGTGGATTGACGGAACACGGGTACCGCGAACCCGTACACTCGTCCACGTCTTTGCGGCACGATGGATCGCTGTCGGCCAAGTGGTCCCAGCCCTGTCGGTTCAGTGCCGTTCGATTCATGAAAGGGCACAGTTGGAAGAAGAGGAAAAAAAATTGTTCGTGCATTTACCGGTTCGCATATGCAAGTGTATCCGAGGGGCGAGCTGGTTTTCACGCAAACCCCGTGACCGCAGAGCTCGCTGTTGCTCGATTCGTCGCATACCGATTTTTGAGTAGCACAGTGGAACCCGTGCCATCCTGGCGAACAGGCGCAACTGAAACATGGTAAGGATCTTGTTAGCTTTCCATTGCCTTCTTGAAAAAAAAAAAGGAAACTCTTTGTTTTTTCCTCTAAACTTTGAAAATCATCCACCTGAAACTGCCCGGAAGATTCGTACAAGTAGCTCCATTCTGACACCCAGATGGTCTTCCCGCGTACCGCTCGCATTCGTTCACGTCGATCGAGCACAATGTGCCCTGAGAAATTCAATAATCACATTTTTTTTTTTCATTTTTTTTTACCTATACTAGGTGATTTTCATTCGATTTTGATGTAGAAAATTTACCTCCCACTCGGGTGGACAGTGGCATTGAAACGAGTCGTAACTATCGATGCAAGTTCCGCCATTTTGGCAGGGATCGCTCGCGCATTCGTTTGTTCGGAGGATCACAGTAATCGAGCGGACTTTGATTTCTAATCTGCGTAACTGTTGATTTGAATTAATTTCGTTTCATTTCATAAATTTATATAAAATGCACATGTAAATCAGGAATAATATTAATTGTACAAGGATACTTTTTCTTACCCTACTGCTTAGTGCCCTAACTTTGGCGGTAGTTACCGAACTAGCTCCGGACTTTGGAAAAATGAAATACCAATAATTAAAAATATCGATACATTATTTATATTGGTATAGTTACATGAAAATCCACGTATTTTCTACCTCGGTTTCAGACGTGGGTTTCATCACGTTTGAAGAATTGAGCGGCGTGTCGCTCGCATATTCAATGGCATTTATTTTTCTCAACAATCCATTTGGTCCTTCGATTACGTGTGACAGTCGTTGAAGAGTAGATTCAACGTCACCGAGTATACCCGATTTCCATCTCTCCACCAAAGATGAAGCATTTTGGGCCTAATTGTTTTATACCAGATGGATTATTTGAGCTCATTATTGCTGTTTTTTTTTTTTTTTTTTTTTTTTTACAAATACAACGACATTCCAAACTTACCGCCCACACCGCATGTAACAAATTTATATCGTTTATGTTAACGTTTCCAACTCCTAGTGTCTTCAAAGTTATGTTTTTATCCTTGGCACTTGATATAAACAAGTTCCCGTTGATCGATTCAAGCGTTGGTCTGAATGAATTTGAAAATAATTATTTTAAAAAACGTTTGGTACGCCACAACTTTTTTTTAATTAATAATTTACATTTTGACTATGAAAAAAAAAAAATAAAAAAAAAAAAGAGAGAGAGAAAGAGCGGACCTTTCATCCAACCAGCCAACGCAAAACTTGAGCAGTAAAAAAATAAGTAGCCACGACCGATTTATCGCCAGCATTTTGTTGCGGGAAAAATAAAATTTCAACGCGCCGTTGCAGATTAATTCAACGGGTAAACCATAGTATTCGAATTTGAAAATTACGTATAAGGGTTTTAATGGTGCAAGAACCTGATCCAAACTGAATCCAAGACTCGACAATGTCACTTGTTAATACTACCAGTTTGGGGTGGGCGTTTTCACACGCGTAATCGAGATGTACCCGCCCAGTATTGGGTTACAATGTGACGATATGAACCACCGGACGCACTGAGCGAGTCTTTACGAAACGGTAAAGTTGAAAATTTTCCAATACCACTGATTCGACTGATGCACTTGTATACACGAATTAACGAGCCTCGCGTAATTGATTCAGTTCTTCATCGTTCAAGTACAAGATTGAGATCTCATTATTGCGTAAACAACGTGATTTATTGATGTATCCACGTAGAGTAAAATCTTTTGTTGGATACATGGTAAAAATAAAAAAATTACTTTTCCTCCGATTCTTTTCCACTTCTAGTTGAAACGTTTTCCTGTACATTGAAAAGATTTTTTTTTTTTTTACGAAAAAACAATAACATGTTCAACTGAGGTGACGTATTTCCCAGGGTGATTAAACATGTTTTCCCCAACCGGGCTGAGTTTAACGAAAAGGTATTAAAAACTTATGCAGTGCTTTGTATTGCATTCTTTTTGTATAAAATTGCTAAACTGATGTGTTGTAAGCTCGTCTTTAACAATTTAACGATGCTTTGGTGGAATTTTCTGATGTTTTCAATAGGAAAAATTATCAAAGTTTCTTCCTGCAAAATGTGCGAATTCGTACTTAGGGTTATAAAAAAATGTTGTTTTTGTTAAACAAAAAATCACTTTATTAATTTATTCATCATAATATACAAGTACTAATGTAGAATATAAAATTTTAGGACCAAGTATCTTACACAATAATTGTTTGTAGTTTTATACAACTTTTCCGTATGGAAAATTGATTGTGTGTTGTAATGAAATATTTGCTCTGGTGATAAAACGTGTCAGTCTTGCCTTATCTGCAAAAGGTACTTTTTTCGTAAATTTAGCCATGTATATGTATATTTGGTAAACTTTTTCCACCGATAAACTAAAAATCATGTGAACTTGTCGCTCGTACAAACAGAACGTGTATTCTGCTTATCCATATGATGGCGTACCGATATAGTTCACAGTGTTCACACCGCGCAAGTGGGGGAGGAAGGCCCCCAATCATTCCTTTTTCATATCACTCAATAATCGTTTTTTCCCTCCAGTCCTTTAATTAATCTTTATGCTTGTACAACAACGAAACTTGAACGAGTTTGACAAAAATAATATAATAATTTATTTTAAAAGCAAACAATTGTAACAAATTGGAGCAGGTGTGTCCAATTCGATGCAGTTAAATTGTTGAAAGATCATATTACGCCTCATGCACCTATATTTCAGGATCATTCCTAGATAAAATTATTACACGTATAGCAAAAAATAAAAAGCTTTGCATTCTCGTTTCGAAGTCATCGTTTTCACATAGTTTTTTTTTTTTTTCATATCCAGCTTATATAAAAGCAGGTAAGTAAGCATATAACATACGTATACTTTACATTGTTTATACGTTGATTCGAAAAGAGCTCTTTTGCTAGCAAACGCAACAAGCGAATATCACACAAGCTGCAAGCATCAGCAGCGCACTGTTGCAACTTTCGCGAACGAATGGCCGCAACGGCCACCCAATATACTATCTTGAGTCGAGAGTATATGGGGGGGGGGGCAGTGTGCGTACCAGTAGCGACTTGCGGTTTTTGGAGCCGCTAACTCGCTTAATAATAATATATACATATACATTAACAATTCACTCTGCGGGGGTGTACGGATCACGCATATCGCAGCAGCAGCCCGCTAACATTTTCCTGTGAGAGTCTATTATATAGCCCTCGGGTAGGTATATATTTGCACTTATTGGGCTGAATGATACTTCTAGCTATTTGTATTATTATTATTTTCTCTCTGTCTCTCTTTCTTTATCGTGCAATTGTGTGTGCGCCCTTGCTCTGCTGCGGTTCGTCGTCGTCGTCGGGATGAATGCTCGTGATCCACTGTGTACATATATATATATATATACCTATAGCGTTTCATCGTCGTTTCCCTGCACTGGCCTCATATAAGCAAGTATCAACAAAAGGGTTTCTTCGCCAATAGTCTTCAACGTCACATCCATAGTATCCCCATGTACCGTCATCGTCGAGAAATAGATAGCTAGTGTACTTCATAAGTACCTCTACTGTGATGTGCTTGTCAGGCAGTCTACTCTATGCTGATCGCCGACGTCGTCAGCGACGTGAGGACGGGAGTGGAGTCGGGGTTGTTCCCCTGTTCTCTTTCCTCCTATACTAAACTCCATTCCCTCGTCATCCAAATACCACCTAGTACTCGTATAGGCCCTTATCTATACGCACTTTAATCTCGTTATTTCGATAGCGCGTATATATACACGACTGGTATTCTGCAACTCCTCTCTCTTGTATTTATCTCCTCATCATCGATCCTCCGCACATGCATCTGCAAAGCAAACCGCATCCTGAAGCACCTCATTTTTATTGTTACGCTCTTCTGTCTTAATACTTACCTCTTGGCCACCCCCTGTTTGCCCTTTTTTTTTTTTTTTTCTCTTTCGTCGGCACTTCTGCTTGTGTACACATAGAAGTACCACACTGACCATATGCACACTGCTGCACCGGCCAGCTAGCTGCACTGGCTTAAAACCTTGAGGAGTTCCTTGAATTTCCATAAGGATCAGCCGGTCGTTGGGATTGAAGGTGGAAAAAAGCATGGGAAAAGCCGGCCGTGCCCCTCTATAAACTTTCTCTCTGCGCTGCGATCTGCTGCTCCAAATAGGTATAATTGCAGAGAGAACGCTCGCCGCCGTTGAGTGTGAGTGTATGTACTTGCTGATTTTGGAGGCTCCGCCGAAGGGGTATAGGGGCGTGCTATACAGAGAGACCTAAGTACGCGCTACTCTTGGATGTGGGTGCGAAAAAAAGTCAAGATTATCGAAATTGCTGTTGCTGCTGCTTCTTCTGGATACGGCGAATAACCTTTGAAGAGTTGTTTTCTGGGGTAAGGAGCCATGCCGCATGTCTATTTATCGAGCGGCGCACCTACGTGCTTGCCCCGCTGTTAATTGATAGTTAGCTTCCTTGGCCTTCGCCGATGTTTCTTTCATTCACGCATACCATCCTCTCTCATCTGTTAATTTACATAACCTGTACACCGAGTCTCTCTGTCTGTACTCCAGTGTACGCACACCCCCACGTTTTCCTGGTTGGACTCTTGAGTTGTTGTTGACTGAAACCTCGTTTGTTTTTTTTTTTATAATATATAAATACGCGTCTCGGTTCCGAACTGCTCTTGTGTGACCAGTGTTGTATTACAGACGAGATCTCAAAGTTCCCTCATTTAAAAGTATGTCATAATTACTTTCCTGTATTGTTGGCTCGTGCGATCTTTTAACCATAATAACTTGTATACTTGTAATACTTGCTTATCGATTCGCTCATCAAACTTGTGAATTTGAGTGGATGCTCTGAATACGTCCCAAGGGTGTTTTATGCAACTTGCAAGTGTACACATGATAAGGCTGAAGAAAACAAGAAATTCGATACTAAATTACGCAAAGAGTATCAGCTCAAGTCATATGATAACCCTTGCTTGGTGCATGTGTTGCAATGCATCTGATGTCCCCTGCATAGAATATAAGCAATTTAGATATTAACGTATATAAGGCCCCTTTCCATCTTATTCTCTTTCAGTCATATAATTCTTGAACGTCTAGTAGTGTTTTAGCTCAACAGATTGCATCTGCAAAGCGTACAGTATTGTCATTGCTGTGTAAAATGGCTCAGATTGATGGTCCACACCACTATCCAGAAAGAAATAATGGAACTACTGATGTTGTCATGAATTTAGTAGGAACAGACGAGCAGGTAGCTATTCTGGATGCTGGTGCTCAGTACGGAAAGGTCATAGATCGTAAAGTACGTGAACTGAATGTTCACAGTGAAATTTTGCCACTAGACACACCAGCTATTACACTAAAAGAGAAAGGATTCAAGTAAGTTTAAGCTTGTTTGCCATTTTAATTGTATTGCCAATAACGTTATCACAGACCATGTATTGATTTGTTAAAAATTTACAGGGCAATAATTATTTCTGGTGGTCCCAATTCTGTTTATGCAGTAGATGCTCCAAAATATGACAAAGATATCTTCAGAATAGGGATTCCAGTCTTAGGAATTTGCTATGGTATGCAAATGATAAATAAAGAATTTGGTGGATCGGTTGTCAGAAAGGAAGGCAGAGAAGATGGCCAATTTACCATAGAAGTAGACCCCAAGTGCCTTTTGTTTAAGTTAGTGGCAGTAAATAAATCACTTATTGTTATGCTATTTTGATCATTATTAATTGTGTTTCTAATTACGTATGTACAGGGGCTTGGATAAAGATCAAATGGTGCTATTAACACATGGCGATAGCATAGATAAAGTGGCAGATAACTTTCGTGTTGTTGCAAAATCATCAAATATAATATCAGCCATTTCGTGTGATCAATTACGGTTGTATGGTGTACAATTTCATCCAGAGGTGGATTTAACAACCAATGGCAAAGCAATGTTTCACAATTTTCTTTTTGGTGTGGCTGGTTTAACTGGAAATTATACTCTGAAAGACAGAGAATCACAATGCATTCAATATATCAGGGACACTGTTGGTAACAACAAAGTTTTGTTGCTAGTCAGTGGTGGTGTGGACTCGACAGTTTGTGCAGCACTACTTCACAAAGCCTTAAACAAAGATCAAGTAATAGCAGTTCATATTGACAATGGATTTATGAGAAAAGGTATCAAAGGAGCTTATTTTTTAAATAAAATTTTAATACAAGTTCATTTACCATGTCCTTATTTTTTTCGTATTAGGTGAAACCCCATTAGTAGAACAAAGTCTTGCACAAATTGGAATAAGATTGCGAGTTATAAATGCGACTCATAATTTCCGTCATGGTACAACGACAGTACCAGCTGGTGCAAGTGCTAGTGAAAATTTGAATAGTTCAAACCCAGATAATCCGCTAAATCCTCCTATATATTGTGTCAATGTGAATAAGACTAATCGAGATGTTACCATATTCCCAAAACCAAAACTCACAAAAATGCTGTGTAACACCACGAACCCCGAAGAAAAGCGTAAAATTATTGGTGACGTTTTTGTTGAAGTGGCTAATGATGCCATGGCAGATATGGGCTTGAATCCAGAAGAAGTATTCCTCGGCCAAGGCACTCTGAGGCCGGATCTCATCGAAAGCGCTAGTTCTGAAGCTAGTTCTAAAGCTGATGCAATCAAGACGCATCACAATGATACGGAATTGGTAAGAGAACTACGTGCAAAGGGTCGAGTAGTTGAACCCTTGAAAGATTTCCACAAGGACGAAGTTCGACTGTTGGGTGCCGATCTTGGGCTTCCGGCGTCACTGGTACAAAGACATCCCTTCCCTGGGCCAGGATTAGCTATTCGAATTATTTGTGCGGAAGAGCCATACATGGACAAGGACTTTTCAGAAACAAAAGTAAATTATCACACATCAGCAAAACATTTATTTTTATTTTTTTTTTGTTGACGATGATAATTATCATTATTTTTTCTTTTTTTTTTCTTTTAGGTTCTAGTCAAAATAATAGCAGAGTACGAGCAAATGTTACAAAAAAAACATGCTCTTTTAAATCGTGTTGAAGGCGCCACCAGCGAAAATGAACGTCAAGAATTACGGAGAATATCGAGTCAACGACCTCTTAACGCTTACGTTTTACCAATACGTACTGTTGGTGTTCAGGTAAATATATATTTTTTTTCTTATGCATGCAAGTACATTAAAGGAAACTCTTGTGAATTTTGGAAATTTCCTTTTATAGGGTGATAAGCGCAGTTATAGTTACGCAGTTGGTCTCACTAGTGATGATGCTATTCCTGAGCCAGCTGAGTGGCAAGATTTGTTATATTTGGCTAGATTAATTCCCCGTATTTGTCACAACGTCAATAGAATTTGTTATATTTTTGGAGGTAAACTTCAGCATCCTGTGATGGACGTTACCCCAACACAACTCACTCCAAATGTAATAGCAACGTTAAGGCAAGCCGATCATATAGCTAACCAGGTATGACATATATCAGGCCGATCATATAGCTAATCAAATATTATTATAAATTCTGTGTACTAATTAATTTTTTAATATTTTCAAATTGTCTGTTTCTCTAGGTATTAGTAGCAAACGGTAGTATGGAAACATTAAGTCAAATGCCGGTAGTACTCATTCCTATTCACTTTGATCGAGATTATGCCTCTCGTATACCTGCCTGCCAACGATCAGTAGTTTTAAGGCCATTTATTTCTCGAGACTTTATGACTGGAACGCCAGCCATTCCCGGAAAAGAATTGCCGATGCACGTATGTATCGGAAAAATTTTTCTTTTGATAAAATTTAATGAGACAAATTGTTTTATCATTACATAATATTGCAGGTGATTAAAAAAATGGTTCACGAGATCATGACGGTACCAGGAATTTCTCGTGTTTTATACGATCTTACGTCCAAACCACCAGGTACAACCGAGTGGGAGTAGTGAAGATTGTCGAATGTTATTCACATTGAATGTTTTCTGTTTTTCTTTTGAAACAACGTGCGCATTGGCGCAAAGTTATGAATGATGAAATTTGTTATTGACTATTGCCGAACGACAAATAACCGACAATTAACTAACCTTAAGGCCCTCAAAGTCAAGTAACAATACACATTGCGATGAATCAAGTAACGCACGCATTTGTAATTAGATGAAGACAGGTGCATCTGGTTGTGCGAGTAGCTGACCATGCTCGATTATCACCATACATATACATATAACACACGTTTAAACTTTAAACGCAAGAGCTCCAAAAATTAATACAACTAAACTGAATATGTTTTTATATTGTGTATGTGCATGAATGCGTTACAAAAGAGCGCGACATGTACATGTGAAATACATATATGAATACTAAATAGTCAAATAATATTGAATAATGTGCCGATCGAACATCAATAAGCCAAAAAAATTTATACAACTTGCCTACCTTCAAGCATGGTGAAAGTTGGTTCAGCGTTTTCGTTGTATCAGATAACTTATCTTAACAATATTTCACGTGAAGTTAAAAAAAAAATGCTTTATGCGTTACAAGTTACAAGTGAATGATTGTGAAAACAGTCAATGACGATTTTTAGAGTGTAAAAGATGTCGTGCAAATGAAGTAACTAAGAATGTTGAATAAAGAGAGGAAAATCTTAAACGATAAAGCTCGACTAAGAAATGAAGAGATGGAGGGAAAACAGAAATGTATGTGCATGAGAGAGAGAGAGTGTGTGTGAGAGAAAGAGAGAGCAAGAAAAATAATTGAGTGGTTTTAATGGAAAAAATGAATGAGAAACAGAGAAAAATAGTCAAACATGTCAACATTGCTTATTGTATATATTATATATCCACTTTTGTCATCGTTTATTTAAGCAAATTGTAAAAATTTTATTTATCAAGTAATGTAATATATAGAAAATCTAAAACGGTACTTGGCCACAGCACTTGTTGTATAACTGATGATGATGATGATGACGGTGATTATGATTATAACAATAATAATTATTATGACGACGATGATAAAAATTACGGTGATATATTGGGAAAATTGATCAGAAGGTCAAAAAATATCAGCAGATCAAAGTGCCGTAGTGTCTTTCTGTGCAGCAAATCTTATGTTGGACGCAACTTGTATATTTTAGGACAGAAATCGTACTAAGTGACGGAAAAATGTTTGGTTCACTTTGTATAAGGAAGAAAATCTAATTTTCTTAAATTAGAAAGAAAATAAAAAGTGTTTTCTTATGATATATATATAATCAGTAAATAATAAAAAAAAAATCAAATTTTTACATGTAGTATGAAATTTGAATTGGATTATCCTCAACTTTAATCGATAATCTTTAATTCGATATAGGATGAGCGTTGCATCATTGACCGACACTCGTTTCAGCAATAATTTTTCAATGACCATCTATTAGTTATATATATATAGAGAGAGATTACCTTTATTTACTTTTAAATTAACTTTTTATCGCATCATACGTTTATTTACTAATGTTGTTGGTCTTATGGATGGCCGTGTGCTTGCAGCTTAATTTTTTTTTTGTGATTTTATAATTTGTTATATCAAACGATTAAAATATTTAAATAAAAAACAGTTCAAATGTTACTTGAAAATAGGTGGAATATAAAGAAAATGTTGACTGACACTCTTTTCATGTAGAAATATCGTTACTTTGTAAAAAAAATAAAAAAAACTGTCTTCGCCAGGATACCACCGCATTTTACATCGTTAAAAAGAATCTTCTTTTTTACATGAATTATAATTTTTTACTTTCATGCGTTTCAAAAATTATCTTAAGTAACATCCCGTTTGGAACAAATCATGTGACAGAAAACGAGCCAAGATCAGCTACAGCTGTATTGTCAGCTTCAAAAATCTATGAAGCCGTAATAATTGAAAAAATCAATGAGGTTTCACTTTTTTTTTTATTTAAATGAACCCCATCAATAGGACCTAACGTGTGTTTCGTCCAGTAAAAAACCTTGTACTTCAATCAAATTCACTTTTTGAATACATCAAAACTCGATGGTAAATTTTGCGCCATGGTGTGATCATTCTTTGCGTCTTTTAATCACTTTGCGCCCACGGAAAGTGATTAGCGGATTCAAAATATAAATTTGTACCCAATAAAAAAAACAGTCTTGTAAGTTGTACTTAGCACCCATGGTGCAAAATATAATACTATATTATCCGCCACATGAGGTTTGAAAAAATTTTCACGTGTGATTTTTATTTTTTTAAATGGTACTATTTGTTTTATTCAGTGACTTTTTTCATTAAAAAGTATTTAATGCAGTGAGCATTTCAAAGTAAAAATTTTTGTTTTTTCTTACACCTTCAAAGAAATAGTTTGTTAAGATTTAACTTTGTTTATAATTTATTTAGTTAACTTGAATATATATATGTTTTTAAAATGAAAATTTTTGTTTTTTCAATTATCAAAGCTCTCTATTAACTCGTGTAATTCTGTATATAGACCTTTTGCAAGTGTTGTACGACTTGTATCGAAATTTCTTATATTTTAATCAAATAGTAGTTATCCTACGAGTTTGAAAAGTCTCTGTTTGCGAACCGAGAGGTTTGCGGCCCGAGCCGAAGGCGAGGGACGTAACGAGGTTCGTAAAGGAGACTTTTCGAACGAGTATCGGAAAACTGCTTTTTCGCCCGAGGAAGTACCAGCCTCCCAAAACCACCCGAGGCCGGAAATAGTAGTTTTCCTACGAGTTTGAAAAGTCTTTGTTTGCGGCCCGAGCCGAAGGCGAGGTCCGTAACGAAGTTCGTAAAGGAGACTTTTCGAACGAGTTCCGGAAAACTGCTTTTTCGCCCGAAGAAGTACCAGCCTCCCAAAACCACCCGAGGGCGGAAAAATAATTTTTTTTTAAAGTTTCGTTTTTATTCGTATGGACGCTAATACTTAAGTGACATTTTATTCTTACAACTCAATTGAACATATATGTTCTACTGTTTCGTTAGGAATTTGTAAAAAAATTTATTCCCATCCACTTGTGCACTACTAAGATACTGTACTAAATACATTTTATTTATAATTAAAAATAATTTTTATTTTATTCAACACTAATGTATAAAAAGGTGCTGACACTTTTTTTGTCCAAATTTTATTTAGGTTGCTGATTACTTAAATTTTTTTTTGTTGACTATATAGTGTTTGATTGTTCTACTTAAATCATTATACTTGATAGTTTAGAAAATGCAGCATCATTTTTAATTTTTGAACAATTTTTCTATGTAAAAGTCAACGGGCTGCCTCTAGCGCTAAGCGCTATAAGTATATCAGTAACAATTGAGGTGTATTTATACAAGATTCAAGATATATAGCAAAGCAAGCGTCAATAGCGTCATAGCAGGTCATAGCAAGTCGCGAGAGTTTTCAAAACGAGAGAGAATCATATCACACATGTTTCGGCTACGATTATGGCGGGATCGCGGAAATCAGTGAATTTATGGTGTTTTACAGCAATATGTGCAACAATTTTTGTGCTGCCGACTGCGGAGGCTGATCGGCTTAACGTTCCCCGGGTCTTGCTGCCGATCTTCAATGACTTCCCTGTTAATTTCACCCTCGAAGTCACCGAGGGTGGATGCTACCGATGGTTAGTTTCTTAATGATTATTGAAAGAACAATCATGTTTTTTTCATTTCTTTAGAATTAAAATTGACGATTACACCAAATCTTCGTTTCCTCTTAGTTACAAGTTTTTGATTTGATAATATTAACATTGTCACTCGAGCTAACCTCACTTTTAAGAGACTAATGAGATTTCTTCCAAAAAATTCCAATTACTCTATCTAATTATTTATGTTGTTAAAAAGTAATCGACCAGGTCAATTATACGTCTATTTTTTTTACATTTAATCCATTCAATGTTTATTACGTATTTTCACAGGTCTACTTCGAGACCTGATATAGTACGCTTAATACCCATAGATGAAGATTATGATAACTCGTGTTCTACCAAAGTTATAGTCCAAACAGTTACAAGAGAACTCTCAAGAAAGACTGCCATTATTCTCGCAGAAGACGTGAATACTGGAAACTTTTTGCGATGCGATGCTATTGTAGATGCCATATATTCCCTAGACATAGTTACTACCACAAGAGAATTGTTCATAGAGGAAGCTCCGGAAGCTTTTGAAGTTCGTGCTTACGATGAGCAGGACAATGAGTTTACAACATTGGCTGGTGTTGAGTTCAAATGGAGCATAGGAAACATTGAAAAAAAAGGCCAACAGTCATTGGACAAAGATTCACCAAATGATGTGCTGAAGTTTATGACCTTCCAGGGATCTCGCTATGAAACTCCTCATTCCGTAGAAATGCTTGATTGTGTTGGCAAAACTGGTAATATAATTTTACTGGAAGGAGTAAAAACTGGTACTGCAAAGGTGTCTGTCGAGATCTTGTACCCAGAATATAAAAATGTACAAGCAGTAGAAGTGGAACTCATTGTTGTTGCAAATCTCATTATTATACCATCAGATGTTACAATTATGCCCTCTGATAGTTTCAAGTACCGAATAGTACAAGTTCATCAAGGACGACTGGAAGAAATATATTTACCAACGAGCCAATATTATTTAGAAGCAGAAAATCCTCAAATTTTAGAAATTAATAATTTAAAGGGTAGTGCTCATGCTCTGACCCACGGTAAAACTAAAGTTCTTTTGCATGATAAAAATGTTCATGAAGAGTATGGTGCTATTCTGCCTTCTGCAACAGTCAATGTCAATGATGTTGCTTACATAAAAATTGCTGTCTTGCCACATAGAAGTAGAAATCTCATTTTAGGATTCACTCATGAAATTGTTGTTGAACTGTTTGACTGGTACGTTTTAACGATTTTTTGTAATGATTTTTTATATTCTTATGGTTTATTAAAGATGTACAAAAACTTTCAGCAAAGACCACAAATTTTATGTTGGCAAAGGTGCTCAAGTAACAACAAAAATAAGTGAAAACTATTTTGAAAAAAAATTCACAACTCAAAATGGAACTCACGTTGTTGCCGTTCCCATTGCCACTGGAACAACTGTTGTAGAAGCAACTTTGCTGGGGAAAAATATGCCAGAGCTTTCTGCTAAAGTAGAACTCGTAATTCAATCAGCAGTTACAATACATCCGCGAATTTTGGCCTTGCCATGGGATCCTAAAGTCAAAACAAGGTAACTTAATTTTCTTCTTTTTTCTCAGTCATAATTGATTTAAATAAAAATCCTTTTTTTAATTTCAGATATGATGTAGCTCTTAAAGCAAGTGGTGGTGATGGTTCGTATCAGTGGAACAGCCGTCAGCCATCAATTGTCACTGTTTCTCAAAATGGTGCTTTGAAAATTCTACAGAAAGGAACCGCGGATATTACCGTTTCGTTAATCCACAATGTACACAATCGCGATTCAGCCAAAGTTCACGTGTTGGAACCGAGTAAACTACAGATAGTGCAGTATCACATGGAGGCTGCAGTCGGTGAAGTAATTCACCTGCACATTGCTTTATTTGGTCAGATGCACGACGGCTCAAATGTTCGACTAATTCCATTTAATGACTGCCAAGACTTGTCTTTTGAAGTTGATATCCCTGACGGCAATTTCGTTGAAATTGAGAGTTTGGATGTTCAACCTGTTGGCAACGCTTGTAAAACAGTTGCAATTGTCAGTCAGTCGATCGGCACTTCCAAAGTTTCAGTTACTTATGGCAGAAACTTGACTGACAATGCCACAGTATCAGCCTATGAACCGCTTATAGTGGTAAATCCAAAAATAGAAACGCTTTTAGCAGTAGGATCATCAAGAAATATTATCTTCAAAGGTGGACCACTGGCTTGGTCTAGTTTAGCTCAGGGTTATCATAAGAATGCTCAAGTTGGCGACAATAGTATACTTGAAGTTATCGAAGAGGAGTCGTCCCACGAGGGAGAAATTTCAGTCTATAAGGTTTTGTGTAGGGCTCTTGGTGAAAGTAACATGACCTATACAGTTTACAATAAACCAATATCACCCTTTTGTAAAGCACATGAGGCAACTGCCCATGTCAAAGTCATTTGTGCTAAACCTCGATATATTTATCTGCAACCCGAATCCAAAGACGGCAATAACTGCCCAATAAGCACAGAACGAATCGTTGCTCGTAGCGAAGAATCCTTAAAATTACTCGTTATCGTCAAGGATGAACATAAACGACGTTTCGACAATATTACAAGTTTGACCATTGATTATTCTGTTAGTGCAGATATTAAAATTCCTAGTGGAAGTTTGGAAGAAACCGATTTTGAATACAATGTGGTGTTGCCCAAAAATCATTATCAGCAGCTTACACCTTATAAATACGTCGATTCATTTACCGTACAAGCTAGAGTAACTGGTTACCAGAAGACTGTACTCTCGCAGTAAGTCTATTATTAATATTTCTCAAAATCATGAATATTTTTAAATTGTTGAAAATGGTTGAGTATACTGCCGTTCATTTTTTCAGATACAAGATTATTCCGGAGTATCCGCCATTTCCAGTTGAAAACGTAAAGGGGGGTACTGCGACTCCCATAATCGAAGCCAGCATCGACATTTTCTTAGTCAACGATACTGTCATAAGTTCTAATAAACTAAAAATCCTCAACGATCCTAGCAGCAAGTATTACCTCCAAGTGAGCCAAGGCTCGGGTTACTACGATCTTGTTTTGAGTGACGAAGAAATAGCCGACGTACGCTACGTTGAACCAACGCGAACCATCAGCATGGTTCCAAGAAAATCGGGGATTCTTGACATTTCGGTTGTTGACCTTTGTCTGAATTCTAAACCTGCTGAGGTCGAGATCGAAGTACAACAACTGGCTAGCATTGAAGTTGATACCGTAAATAAAGTCGAAAAGGACAAGTTCATTACAGCAAAGCTCCAACTTTACGATACAAACGGTTATCTGATAGTGCTCCCCGTGCTTGGAGCGATAGACATTAAAACTGAGACGGAGAACGGTTACATTCATGTCAAAGGCTCAGAACTTGACAGAACTCTGTACACCATACACGGTCTGGAAGAGGGTGAAGCGCAACTTATTTTCAGCAGCGGCCAAGGATCCAATCAAGTACGGAGCGATGTTCTCAATATTCAGGTGTTTCCACCTTTGCAGCTGTTGCCGAAAAATCTCACCACCCTGGTTGGTACTATTTATCAAATTTCAGTGGTTGGTGGACCGAAAAATGCCGAAATTGAATTTTCCACGGAAGACGAGACAGTGCTAGAAATTGACGCCAGCGGAGTCATTGAAGGGAAAGCCACTGGTGAGACAACTATTTACGCTAAAGCGCTTGGAGAAGACTCAAAACAGAACAGAGTAGTATTATCCCAAGATAAGGCGCAAGTGCGCGTCATCCTGTTAGAGGGAGTGAAGATAATCGTTCCTACTCTGAGAATCAAAGCCGGAGCTGTGATTCCCGTGTGGGCTTTCGGTATTCCCGATCATTTGACGCCTCTCATTATCGGCTCAATGAAGTCTCCTTTAGTCTTCTCGTGGACAACAAATGATCCCAAAATTATGACTTTGCACAGTATGTACGAGGGAACTGGTATTAACGTCAGATATCAGAACGAAGTAACTCTCAGGGCAAAAGCTAATAAACCGGGAATTGCGACTATTATTTTAACAGCAACAACACCCTGTAATGTTCTTGGTGGCTGCCGAGTTCAGCCGAGCTTCAGCTCATCCGTAAAAATAGAGATCTTTGAAGAACTGCGTCTTATAAATGATGATACAACTTCGACGTCTTTAGTTTTAATAATGGCACCAAATTCGTCGTTAAAACTTGAAACCAATCGTGATAAATTTGGATCGACTGTTTATCAGGTGTTGAACAATGGTCAGACCGTCAATGAAGAAGCCGATGATCCACACGCTTTAGCGTCAATTATGATTGACAAAAATGGTGTCTTAACATCTGGTGAAAATTATGGGAGTGGTATAGTAACCATAACTAACAGCGAAACGTTCAGTACCAAGCAAACACTCACAATCGCAGTTTACGTGAGTATAACGTATAACGCATAGTTATCATTATTTTACTTAAAAGAATTTTGAATTACTTTCACAAAAAAAATTCTCCTTAGGTTAAACCAATTCATTACGTGATGCTGTCATTAAAATCAAACATACGAATAAGAAATGGCGAAGAGTTAACTATGTTACCCAAGAGCATGGATTTGGATTACGTGCTTGAATATTATGATAGCGCAGGATCTAAATTCAACGCTGCAGAAGTTGATTTCAAGACTTTATCTAGTCGTACGGACTTGGTCACATTTACCAAACAAATTGATAAAAATGTGTTGAATGCTAAGTTTGTCGAGAATGGCGAACTTATCGTTAAAGTTTTCAATGAAAAATATCCGAATGGAATGTTTGATTACGTACACATGATAATTGGTGAAGTTCTCTTTCCTACTAAGGTAAGTTTTAAAATAAATCTTTAAAATCCTAAAAACGTAATTAAAAGTACAAAGAGCAATCTAATTATTATTAATTTTATAGGCTGTTCTGACTGTGGGAGATATTGTCTGCTTTTCAATGCCTCTTTTGTCTTCTGACGGAGATCCAGGGTATTGGCAATCGTCGTCGCCAGAGATATTGTACGTCGAGCCCATAAGTGGCATAGGTAGAGCTCGTAGTCCTGGAACTGCTCGTGTGAAGCATAGCATTGCTACCCACCTTCGAGACGAGGTCGAAGTTATTGTCAACCCTATAACAAAGATAACTTTAGTTCCTTCCAAAGGAAAGAATATAACTGGAACAGAAATATTTAGCGTACCACTGATACTGAAGGGCAAACACGAGACTTTAAAAGAAAATAATATTATATCTCGAGGTCTAGGAGGTTGCAGGACTCAAACATCTTTCTCATTAAGTCACTATCCTTTCATTTGCACTATTCAATTTGCACCGCAACACTCTGGTGTAGGAGTAAAAGACATTTTCTATGCTAAGCCGCGGTTCGATATTGTTACTGGTAAGTTGGATATTAATTTTTTTTAATATTCTAGTGACCCAAAAATAACTTTATTTTCATGTTACCTTAGGCTTGTACTACTGTGATATAATTCCAATGGGCTTACCATCTTTGTCATCGAGCATATTGGAAACCAAATTGCGCGTTAATGCACTAAGCCGAGATATTGAAGGAACTTCCATAGAAGTATCTTATCTTCCCCCTATGTACATTCCTACAAGAGAGATTTTGTTTTTGAACACAATAGGCCAAGACGTACCCACTGCAACTCTAGATGTATATGGTCTTTCATACGTTTTAGAACATATAATTGTAAGTAAAGGCTTTTGATTAATATATTACTTTTTTTCTTTGAAAATCTTTCACGTTCAACTTACATATAAATAATTTTTAGATCGAGACTCCTGAAGAAGTGAGTGTTGGGGCTCGTCAGTCTCTTACGAAAACTAATACACAATTCAAGTTAACTCTGTCCCAAAATCAAGAGGAGGTTCAAGGTAGAAAAATTATTATCACAAATGAACTAACGAAGCAAAACATTTCAGTAAGTATTAGTGCATAGATTTGTAATTTTTTAAACATAATTCTTAATATGATTATGATATTTTTAGCTTCTCATCCGTGTTCCTAAGTATGATCAATTCCCTCGGATTTCGGGTATTCAGTGGATTGATTATTTATATTTCCATCGATACACCTTAGGAACTTTTATAATACTCTTTATGTCTTTTATTCATTGTAAGTTAAAATTATAATAAAATTTTTACGTTTTTCTTTTACTGTTGTTTACAAATTCCAATCAAAATTAAATTTCAGTCATGAGGAATAAAATGGCAAACATCGATGTTTCCGTGAAAAACAAGAACGTATTTGGTATGTAGGTAGAAAATTAAATAAATTTTAAAAACTGCGATATATTTCATGAACGTATTTTCCAGCTGAAAAGTGTTCACCGCCTTTGAAAAAGACAACTGGTTCAGCTTCAATGAATGCTTCGAGCACTGGTAGTCCTGGTAGTCCTGGAACACCATTGAGGCCTTTCTCTACTTTTGAACCAGTTTATGGCGATCCGAGGGGTTTCGCCACTCCAAATTCACGAAGAAGTCGAAACATTTTATAAAGTACTGTCCTCGAGTGACACGTAAAGACTTTTTCATTTTTATAAGACATATTTTCATGACAAAATGGTACTTAAGTGGTTAGTTTGTTCTTGAAACTGAAAAAAGTCAATATGCGTTGTTATACTGTGACGTGTGATACTTGTTACTATGTATAAAGTGTAATTAAACTAAGACTCAATAACTTACTAAAGTAAAAAAACATGATAGTCAACTTAATCTTTCAGTGTGAAATATTTTAAGATAATTTATTTTTTTAATAATTTTCTTACAAGTGATTCAAGCTATTACCAATAAATAAATACAGGTTCGTATTTGCTGATCTTTGTTTGTGTTACTTTTTAAATGTGTGAAATCAATTAACGAGAGTGTACTGAAAGATCCAAAAACTTTCTCAAAAATTGTATCTTTGTACATATTTTTTCTTTCTAGTTGTAATAACAAGGATTTTTTAAAATAAATTATTCTAAATAAAAGTTTATAAATAACGTTTATTACAAAATTTGATGAATATAGCAGCTACATTCCTCTCACTCATACGAAAAATTGTATGTATAAATGTTCATTTCCAGTAGTGCTTAAAGTCTCTAGACCACTTTTTGAATTGCTTTCTCTCAAACATTTTTACAACTTAGTGTTTTTTTGTGTTTTTTGACAGCTTCTCATATTTGCGTTTGCTCGAAAACCATAAGGCAAAGGGAATGGCAAGCGATGGCAGGGTCATCACAGCAAAGGCAGCCCAATCAACCTAAATTAAATTTTTTATTGAAAATCTCACAAGTTGTGCATGAAAGTTTTTTTTTACTTTATAGTAAAAAAAAAAAAAAAAAGCTTACCACGTGGGAAGAAAATTTCTTATCGTACTCCTTGTAAGAGGTGAAAAATGCTAAACCAGGTTCACTGCTGGCAGCAACTTGTAGTCTGGGAGCATCTTCCTTTCTGCGGTACAGTACTTCAGCAGAAGTGAAGTTGAAATATCCTGGCTTCCTTGGCCTTACTACAACAGTGTGGGTCACATTGGTATGTGGTGGTACTCTATCAATTCTGGCACTCAGTTCTCCACTAACATGAGCAAAGTTGTCTGGGTCAAACGAATTATCAGTGATTTCCACTTCAAGAGCAGCTGCATCACCAGTGTTGTATACAGTATACTGAGAAATTGAGAAAATATTGATAAATTGCCATTTTATGCAAATTTAACATGATTAATTTTTTTATTTTTTATTTGTAACCCTATAAAATACCTTAACAATAACATCCATATTCTCAACTAGGAATTTGTTGTGAACATGCTTGGCCACAAGCAATCTAGCTCCATCGTTCTCAACTTCCTTTCCAGCAGCTGTTGCTCCCAGCACTACAGCTGCTAAGCATAACAATTGACAAAACTTCATCCTGAAACAAAGTATACACCAATAAGGTTAGCATTCCATACTTAAACAAATGAAAGTTTAAAAAAAAAAGATTTTTTCATTCAATTGTTGAACAAACAGACTTTAAAACACTGGTCAAGGTAATAGCATAATATTGAGCTCAGTTAAAATTTATCAATTCATCAAAATCAGATAATTTTTAAACGTATGTTTAACTAAAACTAAAGGAGCAATGGTTACTTGTTACATCTTAGAGGAATTTCTGAATATAAAACGACGGTAAGTAAAAAAAAATATTTCTCTTGAGTACTTATTCTCAATCAAAAGATTATTTTTATTGAAAAAGAAGCTACTTTACTTAGGTGAGCTAAAGATCTAACCTGAGAATAAAGACGAAATATATGAACGAGTATGGAAGGTAAAGCTCCCCGGACTGATTTTACAATCTACAACATGTGGCACTTTTAGTATTCGGGTAGCCTCGACAACTAAAATTTCAACGCTGAAAGTCTGAAAATTCCAAAATCGAGCTACCTATAAGTTAACCGATTGGCCGGTGTTTGTGTGTGCCACGTTTTAACACTTTTAACCTATTCGACTCGAAAGTCGACCGCTCGATGGAATTTTAAGTCGATCGTTGCAATTCAGCCCTTTTTCGAGAGTCGAGAATCGATTGATGCTCCGGTTGCTCCGAAATATTTGTGACTGAATTCAGAAGGTGCCTTGTCAGCTGTTTAAAAAACATCATCTTTGAGAACGAAAGATCGACTGTTAATATTATTGTTTTACTTTTCTACATCATTAGTTAAGATAATTATGGTCATTCGTGCGCTACCGAGATTGAAGCTGTTTTTGAAAATAATTTCATTTTAGAAAGAGGTAAAATTTTGTGTTACTATACTTGTCAATGATGACAGCAAAAGTGTATCAATCTGATCAAGAGTTGGAAACAAAAGTGAAAAAAGGTGTGTACACAGTAATCACTGTCATTCTAAATAATATTTAGTCATTATCGATTAAATAATGATTGTTTGATAAAATCATCAACCGTAATGTTTCAGCAACGGAAAGGATCTCGGAGAATCTACACATAGTTGCCAACGAGCCGTCATTGGCATTTTATAGGCTGCAAGAGCATGTGAGAAAAGCTTTGCCTCCCATGGTGGAAAAACGAGTTGAGGTGCTGGCCTTGAAGCAACAGCTCCAGGGTCGTTGTTACGATGTTGAGTATGCTGTTACTGCAATTAAAGATATGGAAGGAGCCACCAACAGCTTTAACAATACCTTGGAACTTTTGAAAAATGCTATATTTTACAAGCAACAAATAAAATATGAAGAACAGCGCCGTAAGAAGACCGAAGGTAACAAGGATTCCATGTACAAGAGACTGTCTGCGCACATTCCAGCTCTACCAGATGATCTTTCTGATGTGATGAGAGAAACTGCTAATCGCGTTGAATCAATCATGAGTCATGCTAGGCATACTAGCCCTGAAACTCAAAAGAGCAATTGAGTGTTTTAATATGTGATTTTTTTTGTCAGTTACATAGGTTAATATAAATTGTTTTGTTTTGTAAAAAGTGTGGATGTGATCGTTTTTATTTTTTTTAGTTTAAAATAATTTCTAAGTAATCGTACTGTTTATGAACTATAGATTTTTTATAATAAAATTTAACGTCGAAAATAAAGATTTGTTAATATCTGAATATGATAAAATTTAAAAATGATTAATTTATTTGTCGTGAGCTTTTGTGGGGAAGTAAGCCAACGATGATGTTATTATATAGTCTATGCATGAGAAAAAATCACGTGAGGCGAGATCCATCCGTACTTAGTAAGTATGGAACGGAGTTCTCAAATGCTAAAATGTAGGTATTTCGGAAAGCTATGTGCTATGAGCAATGAGCATTGAGCGAGAGCATCGAGCATCACAAATATCACAATTCACAATCCGCGCATGTGCAGATATACATGTCGTTAATGTAATGTCGTAAAAACATCTAACAATAACAATTATATATATATATATTATATGAAATCGGAGCACTCTCTCAACTGCACTAGCAGACGACGGATATCAGACAGACAGATGAATATACCCTGAGTCTGAGTCTGCTGCAGTTCAGCCTCCTCTTTATAAGTACATGATGAACGTATATATAATATGTACTTATAATAAATTAATAGCACATTAGCGGCAGCTGAAGTGAGTGTTCGCTAGCAAAGGTATAGAAGAAAAGGGTGATGGTCTTTGTCTGTATAGCATCTATACAGGATAACAACAGACGTGAATCATTTTAAACAGTGAAGTGAGTTTGTTGAAGTGCAGCACCAGTGTGGCTGTGCAGAGAGCGCGAAAGTAACAGTAGTGCCTCTCGACCCCGGCTACCCCTGCTCTTAAAAGTAAATTTCCAGTTTGAGTGGGTACAGGTATAAAGCCATGGTAACATAACAGCACACAGCACAGTAACTATATATATACTTACTTACGACGTCTACGACCGCGAGGAAGAGAGGGAAAGCGCGCGCGAGGTATATGTGTATGGTATGTATTTAAACCTACCTTCGGAACCGAACTAAAAGCCGAGTTGGAGCGCGTTAAGCATGTGACGTATTTTTTTTTTTTTTTTTTTCGAAAGCGCGCGTGTGGTGTGTGTGTGCATGCGAAGCGGAGAGAAAACAGCTTTTGGGAAAGCTAGCCAGCCAAGCCAACTGCTGCAGCACCACCAGCATAGACAACCTCATAGAGAGAGGAGAGACAGCTCCTTGTGTTTTGTGCATATCCACAAGTTCGATACTCTCTGCGCGTTCAAGAAGCTGGACGATGCCCCTGCAGCAGCAGATGCTGATTATTTGTAATAGTTATATTGAGGCCGTATCAGTAGTAGCACCAGTTGTTACAACTAATCCTCACCGGGAGCCGTATCGTGTAACTATTTTTCTATGTTACAACATAGGCCCACGAAGCGAAAAAAAGTTATCCCTGACGACGACGACAAAGCGTCTGCTGGGATGCTCGATGCATCAGCTTGACGCGCCACCTTCTTTTCTGCAGTAACAAGCGCGGCGTGCATGCTGTCACAGCAGAAGACATCCACCTCATCCTCCTCCTCGTTATCATCATCATCATATCACACCAGCCGTACAGCAGCATCTTTTTCTTCAATTTTTCTCTTTTGGTAAGTCTATGTTTTTTACCTGTCTATTAAGTACCTACATAAATACTCAAGTATCAAGCGCCGCTTTTGCAAATTTTTTAATTTTTTATTTTACTCTATCGGCTTTTCTGCACCACCTGGCGCACACACATACACCCCAACATTTAGCAGAGATACAACCTGCCCCGGTCAAACTGTTTTTTTTTTTTTTTTTCCTCTTGCACTGCGAGAGCAAGAGGCAACTTGATTTATAGACTCGTTTAAAAGGTTATGTCATAGTCAACTTTCCCAATCGGGATCGATAAATAAAGTGCGATTCGGGAAAACGCATACATGAATACACGTTATCTGGTGTATATCTACACGGAGATATTGCGCGAGAGAGATCAAGCGCAGTCTGTTTCGCTTCCGCTTTTATTGATTTTTACAATATTTTACATAAGCGCGTAGATAACATATATAAAGGCTTGTTTTCGCGATTGCTAACGTGTTTCTCTTTTTTTCTCCCTTTCTCTCTCTCTCTCCCAAAAAAAAATATATATATATATATATTATGCATGTGAGCATGGCTTGTGTGCTTACGAGTCATTGGCCTAATTTTACGATTTTCAATCTAACATACCTACCCCGTGTAGCGGGGGGATGATCGACCGCGGCAGCTTTTGGCGCGTGGATTTGAATTTCTTGCTTTTTTGGCCGATGATGTGAACACTCCAAAGTATTACATCGTTTGTTTCCTTATTAAAAAATTGTTTCAATTTACAAATTTGGAATCGATGAAAGTCAGGGAATAAAGTGAACAGGCAATTTTTGTATTAACCATCAAATAAGCCGTGCGCTTGAATAAATTTTACGTGTGACACTTTTAGCCAAGTGAGTTTTGCATATAAGGATTTGCGCAAAATTACGCGACGTGACACCACAACTTGAAACGATCATCAGTTAAAAATTGTATAGGCACATAATACATCATGTTCTTTACAAAATGTTCTATGCCCACATTCGAAGCGTTAGAGTTGAATTAGTTACATATATATGTACGGTCCGTTGTATTTCCGTGTGCGCCTTTTCTCTCGAAAAGAATCAATGCAAAGTTCCAACAATAACGTCTCAATGGACGCCAAAAATACTAAGCCTAACAGCCAACTGAAACAATTCGAATTTATTCTTGTACGGACTTCACAATGTGTTTTTATAATATTTTAGATGGTCCAAAGAACAAAATGTTTATACGTATTATGTTTGAAGAAAAAAAAAAGCAAAAATCATCATTAAGATAAAATGCTTACGCTATATACTTAATCTCTCGACATCATGTATATAAATGGCGTCGAAACGATAAAATGGGAAAAGAAAAAATCAAACTAACCATAAACAAAATTGACTCGCCACGCGTTCGAGGCACTTCACAAAAGAGAGTCACTCGTGAGTTTTACACGCACAGGACTCACAGAAGAGCGTATTTATCGTTTGGCGGTATAATGCAATTAGTCATCCCATAATTAGATGTTTCTCGCGCGCGCGATAATAGTATACACACATGTATATATACGTATATATGTATTATGTGCATAATGTGAGATGGTTGGATGGTATGCGGAGTGCAATAGCCTCCGGTGCGAGCAATTCATAAATTCTCGCGCCTTCAATGACGACGACGTACGCTGATGATGATGCTGATGATGTTGAACAACAGTTAATATGACGCCGAGAGAGTGGACGCAACGGGGAATTTGCGCGCTCCGTTGAGTATCATTGTTTTTTTTTTTTTTTTTTTTTCCCTCTTCTTCTGCATGCATCAGCCAAGGCAAAGTTATGAGCACTAAAAGGTATTGTACACATGCTCGTATGGATGTGGACAATCAAAAACGAAGGCCGTGTCGCCTCTCTTTCTCTCTCTCTCTTGCCCTAATCACGATTTATCTTTTAATAATATATATACGTAACCAACGACGCGTACATAATACGATATAAATACCTATGTATACGTATATACACACACCTATGGATTGTAACGAATCGCATAACTTTGAAAGTTGTGACGGATGTAGGCCAGGGCCGAGTGTGTCCCGCTCTGCTGGACGATGCCTCCATAGGCTCTGTTACATAGGCACACCTCTTCTTCTTCGCGTTTGCGCCCCATCAAGAATCTTTGACTTGTCACGTATATGCATACACGTGCGCATCCACACCATGTTGTATCATCATCATCATCATTATTATTATTATTATTATTATTATTATTATTGTTATTATTATTATTATTATTATTATTATTACGTGTATCTATACATGTTACGTACCCTATCTTGGCTCATTAGATCTCTAAAGAGACACTTGTTCATATACCTAAGTACTTAACACTTAGGCATATACCTACATATAAATATGTGCTATAGTTATGAGTGCGTGCATATATTGTACCATATATCAGGATTATTGCACTTAACGCCGATTTTTTTCTACCAACAACGTCGATCCATCTTTTTAACGCCTCTCGCAAATGTCGTCTTGCAACTTTTTAACCGTGTATACCTTTAATCATGTACATGCAGCCGCGGAATATAAATCTTGGCGGCGCCGTTTTTGCCCGCACACGCGAGTAGTCTCTTCTGCCCCCCCCCCGCCACCACTCTATATGTTTACTTTCACGAGTGAATCTTTTTTAATTATAATCGTGCACTGTAGGAAGGGGAATCGGAAGAGAGTGCGATTTTTAGTAAAGTGACAACATTTCAAGACGAAAATCTGGCTTTTCACTATACGAAGGATAAATCTTACATTATAATTGTTTATTTTAATATAAGAAAATACATAAATTACAGTCCGACGATGGTTATAATTTTTTTAGTTGTACTTTATCCCTATACAGTGATCGCTTAGTTAGGATAAGTGGTAAAACCACCACTGCTTTTATATTGATGTTCATAGGTTGAGTTAGTGCACAAGTATAGGTAATATAAGTACCTATAAATTATAATAAAGTACTGTTTCATTCAGCGGACAGCCATAATCGTTGGGTCAAAATCAATGAAGTATCATCCATTTTGATGAAAACTAAAAATTTTGTATTATAAATCACGTTCACTGACACCTTTGCTGCAATTCTCACTTGTATAAATTAAGAGAGTGTAAATAAGTATTCGTACCGGCAGGTGTGAATAAATCTTGCGCATCTCTCGTCTCCGTATACATTATCTCGCAGACAGAATATACACACACAAACATACTCGAATCGAAGGTGAAAGTGGATTCGCTCTCGTAACTGCGCTGTTTTTTTTTTTTTTTTTTTTTTTTTTTTTTTTTTTTTTAGATGGCGAATTCGTATACGCACAATTATATTACATGCGAAATCGATCGCGATTACTTTCAATTTGATTCTAACACTGTTCTTACATACTTTCATTTTACCTAAAGGAGTCTCATGGGTACTTTAAAAAATTTATTAACGTTACGATGATGAAGTATAATAAAGCGCTGAATTATCTACTTTTTGTAATGAGCATGAATCTTTTAATTGCTATCGGGTGAAATATCGATTTATAAAAGTGATAAAAATAATTTCAGACTGGACTGATACAAAGAGATGCGTTTTTGTGTGTATGCACATTTTTGAGAAAAAACCCGTCCAAAAAAATTCCACAGAATCAAAAAATTAATACAACATAGCTCATGCAGTTGTGACAGGTATAAGAACCTCTAATAATGTTTTATTACCATGCGTTATCAAAATACATATGATTAAACGTAAAACATCATAATTTATTGGGCATTTTCACGATACTGCTTACAAAAAGTGTTACACATGATGCATCTATTTACAATTTTGTGATTACATTTGTAAAATACAAACAAAAAATGTAACTAAGGAGAAAATGGGATTCTTAAAAATATCTAACACACGACTTTATGACACGTATAGGATAAGTAAACTAAAGGTAGCAATACCTATATACAAAAATGTTTCCAACTTCTAACTAGGCAAATTAAAAAAAAAATTTTTTTTTTTAAATCTCAGTCCTTGCTCTTGCTCTAACTTTGAACTTGAATTTTTTTTTAGTTTCATGAGTCATATACCACTGAACTATAAAAATCAAAACAGTCTCCTCATTTAATAATGATGTTAGGATAAATATTAAAATAAAAATAATAAAAAAATTAGATTTTACTTTCTTAGATTTCTTATCTTACCCTTGATTCAGTCTTTTCTTTTTCTTGTACAATAATTTTACCTTTTAATTTCTTTGTTATTCATTATCGACTATTGGTAACTTTATACTAAGCTAACGGTATAATCTGCGAGTTTGGCTGAGAAAACATTTTCCTTGTTCAATCTAATTCTTTGCATGACGTCCATAACAACTTTTATGAACAATTATTTATGAATACTTATAAAACATTAAAACATTTCTTGTTGCACCAAAGTATAAGCAAATATTTTTGTAAAGTACAATTTAAATGTTAACTATCAGGTATTTGGTGTCTTTGTAGAACTAGGAAAAAAAAAAAAAGTTTCCTTCATTAACTACTCGCTCTTTGGTATTGTATGTAGACAGAATTGTTGTGAAATAAATTGTATGTAAGGACGCGTACAAGTTTTGTAAAAATTACATCTCGATTCTTGACGCGCTAATAAGAAAATTAAAGCCACTTTGACGCGAACGAAAAACCTTGTGGGAGCAAATTATTTTTAATCTTTCCGTATTACTTTGTGTACGTCGTAATTAACACTCGCACACAGATGTGCCAAACGAAAGGGACAGCGCGTGCAAATATACAAACAATGTATCTTTTTAATGTCTAAAAGTCTCTTTTTTTTCCTTCGTAGAATTGGTCCTTGTTGTCCCGAAAAACATGTTTTTGTCAATTGTAACTAAGGAAAAAAAAAAAAAAAAAAAGTGCGAATATCTCACCGACATGTCACGTCAACTTGCGTACACTTGTGCGTGTGATGTAGACCCGAGTACCGTAGGTATGCTTTTCACGAACTGCTCTCTGACGCTTTCGATATTTCACGGGGA